AGTGTGAGACATTAAGAAATGTTTTTTTCTTAATTCTGCATGACATTTTAACTGTGAATGTCATACTACTATTCGCTTTTACCGCAAAACAATATTTGTGTTCAGCAATTTCTTTTGAGTAAAACAGTACCCCCCATGTACAGCTTTTATGGTGTTTTTAAAAGTTACAGGGTCAAATCTAAGAAATGCCCATTTAGGTTTTTACACTTTGAAATTTGCTAGATTAGTTATGTAGTGTTTGAGACTGTATGGCAGCCCAGGAATGAGATTTCCCCCCATCGTGGCATACCATCTGCAAAAGTAGACAACCTAAGGTATTCAAAATAGGGGATGCCGAGCGTTTGACGATGTAATACGCTGGAAGAGGTGGGGGGTTGGTCCATATCGAGCAAGGAGGACAAAACAATGATGACTAGCTATTTAAACGCCATATTGGTCTCGCTCTGTGTGCCGAGTCAGACACATCATAGAACCAGCTTGTGAGTCACTCTAAGCCGCCCGAGAGCCTACAAATGTATTATTTATTTACTGTTACTTAGCGCAGACTCCTTTTCTCCTCTTTCTTCTACAAATTTATTATGCCCTAAGCTACCTCGTAAAGCAGCCGACAGGACTCACTGCAGCAGGCAACGTTGTGAATGCCTCTCGGGAGATCGCATTCTCAAACACTCTTAAGTCAAGACACTGATAAGCTCTATGTCTGATATACTGCACTTGTGAAGAAGGAAAAATCAGCACAACCATCCTGCTAAAGGCACAATTCACCACCAAAGACGCAACTACTGTCAAGCCAAGAAATTTCCACTAGCTTTGCAGGAATAAAGCAGGATTTATTTATTTATTTATAAAATATTTTACCAGGAAAGATACATTAGTGGATCTAAGTCTAAACGTGAACTCCGTTAAAGAAAAAATATCTAAGATAAACGAACAGCTCAACTCATTCAAAGAAGTTAATTTGATGATAGATGTCAAAATAACACAAGTGGACCTAAAGAGAATTAGAAGAGCAATCAAGAAGGTCCAACTTGAGATTCAGGAACATTCCAGAAGATATCTCTCAAGAACAACTTAAAGATTTCAGGATGTCTTTCTTCAAAGAAATGGACATACAAATAGAAGACAATCATACCATTCTAGAAAAAGTCCATTGCCTCTTTAAACCAAAAAACATTCCAGAACACTACCCAAGAGACGTCATCGTAAACTTTCATTCATATCCATACATTGAGCAACTTGTAATAAATTTAAGAACATTTTAATATTCCAAGATTTATCACCTCAAACCAGATTATGGAGAAAGAGTTTTTGTCAGTCACTAGGCTATCTAAGAAAGAAAGGCATTAAGTATCAGTGGGGTTGTTGATATGGTGGAAAGGTAAACAAATTAGTTTTGATTCTCCAAGTGTTCAGAAATGGCTAAAACCAGAACATTTCCTGGTAGTACGCTGGGGGTGTGATGACATGAGGCACACACGCATGCGCTCTGAGTGGGTGTGTTTGACCTGCAGCATGGTGGCTACCTTTACCTCCGTAGCGGCGTATTAGCCAAGCTCCCGAGTCCAGACTTCTCTGCCCCTTAGTTTGGCATTCCCCCTGTGAAATATTGGCATCTCAGAGGAATCTCAAGCAGCAGGGAGACACGTTAATGATTGCCGGTACTTGTGGACAAGATGCGGAGACATTGGGTTTGGTACCCATGACAGCGAGATACTGAGTAAAGGAAAGACTCTGGTCACATGGTCGCTGGTTTCCAGGGAACCATTGGCGGTGCAGAGAAATTTGAAATAGTACTAAATTTTGGTGATGACGTATGGTAGAGGCGCCATATTGGAGAAACCCACAAGCCAAAATCTACAATATAGCATGCAAAGCGACAGTGAGTAGCTCCTGTGAAAGCAGATATTTCCTTTGATCACAATACATTAAATGCTACTTGCTTTTAGCAAAATGTCTTTTTAATTCTCGAACCATCCATAATTTATATTAAATGTAATAGAACACTGACATCATACTAAGAGAGGTTATAAAAAATATAAAGAAAGGAGGAAAAATGGGGCTTAGAGGAAAGTAAAAGTAAGGAACGAATTAAAGGAAAAGAAGAAAGGAGAGGAAAAACAGGGGAAAATTAGGTAACTAAAGGGTTAAAACTTGAGAAAAAGCTGTAAAAAAGAAGAAAAGAGGAAAAAGGCAAAGAAATGGTAAAGTGAAGAAAAACTATTGCAGCTTATCTCTATTGCAGATCGTACAAATTGTACAGCTCTACGTAGCACAAAGTAACCATATACATCTAACGTTAAAAGCCACAGACAAATATAGTGGCACATAAATCCTAAAGTTTGTTGGTTGAAAGCTGAAAACACACAATCTCAAGATTTAAAACTACAAAACAGCGAGAGATATAACAATATCAACAAGGTTTTAGCAAAAAAAAATAGAAAGAAAAAAAAGGAAGAAAAAAACAAAACAAAGAATTACTATATATATATATATAAATAAAAGAGGGGAAGAAACAAGGGAGAAAGAAAAAGGAATAGAGGTGGAAGAAAGGGAAAGAAGGGAAAAAGAGAAACAAAAAGAGATATGGCTCCAAAGAAAAAAAAATACAAATTCTCTGCTCCAGATAAAAACAAATCCCCAAATATATATTGCTCTCCCAAGTACCAAGATACTACAAAACCAACTCCAAGAAACTCAATAGGAACAGCTAAAGAACATACAGAACGGACTATTGGAATTTCATTAAAAGATGTAGAATCGCAAAACCTCAATCTTTCCCAAGGATCGTTCACAAACACGATCGACAACCTATATAAAAAAAAACAAGATTTGGATCCAAATACAATAGAATTGAAGAAAGAAGTAACATCTCTTGGCCAACAGTTATCCCAGAAAGCAGAACTGATTTTAAAATTTCAGGAAGAATTTGCAAAAAAATCCAATCAGATAATTTACAACTAAAATGCAAATTACAAAACTTGGAAAGTAAAATCTCGGACCTTAAAGTTAGATAGAGGCTCAATGGAATCAGAGGTATACCAGAAAACATCACAAGCCAACAGTTAGAACATTATCTCATGGAAATGTTCTCATCAATAACGGATACAACATTATATGGTCCTCATCCACTGGAGAGATTCCATAGATTTACAAAAAAAAACTAAGGGATTTTCAGCCTACCGAGACATAATAATACGATTTTCAAACAATTACCTTAAAAATATAATCACAAGAGAACTAAGGAACAAACCACTCATTGAAGATAAATATAACGAAATCTAAATTTATACAGATTTATCGGCAGCAACCCTCCCAGTTAGGAAACGATGAAATGAGATCACTACAATCCCAAGACAAACGAAGATAATTTACCATTGGGGATTCCCCTTTAAACTCCTAATTCATTATGACGGCAACCTCTTTCATTTCTCTGACGTATCGCAAGCCAAAGGAGACATTGCCAAATGGGGACGTACTCCTTTATAATTATTGGTTTTCTTTTGTCCCTCTCTCAGAACATTAATGAATCTATCTGGACTAACATTGAAGATACTTTGTTTCCCCCTCTCTCTCCGAATTACGGGATCTCAAGTTGTGGGGCTCGCTTCCCCTAGTAAATGAGGGGGACGACCCCCATAATTTGGGACCTAAATGGAAAGGGAGACAAAGGTTTGGGATGGAGGTTGTATTACAGAAAAGAAAAGCACAGTTGGAGCCAGGGAAAAGAGTATAGATAGATGGTTTATATACACATATTAGCAATTATTGTTTAGTAGGAAAAAATAAGAATTAATACAAAGATCACTATTCTGCGCTTGAAATTTAATAAATATGTTACAAATTCACAAATACACAAGATCTCGGATTCTGGTGCTCGCTCCTTCCATGTAATTGGGGGAGCGCCCCCAAAATCTGGGACACTAAAAGAGATATATAAATGATTATGTTAAATTTAGACTGAACAATGTTTTAATAACCTATAAGCTTGGTTGCTAGATTGAGACACATTTATGACTCACAAACTATAACAAAATATATAAACAGATGGGATTTACATTTACACAAGTGAAGATATTGATGGATGTAAAAGGAATTGAAACCCGATATCACTGTTTTGTACCTGAAATGTCAAAGCATGTTATTGATTCACAAATACACAGGATCTCGGATTCCGGGGCTCGCTCCTTCCGTGTAATGGGGGATCATCTCCAAAATCTGGGCCAAGATATACATTTTACTGTGTTGGATTTAGATTGAAGAGTATGTATTAACAAAAAAGCATGGTAGATAATATTTAAATTTACACTTTTAAAATAGGATAAAATGGAATTGAGATGATAACAAAGAAGGGATATAGGGAACATTTTAGGGAAATAACAGAGAATGAATGGGAGAAGGATTAGAGGACTAGAGATAAACGGATAAGTAAGAAAAAAAGAAAGTCGAATAATGGTAAAGAAAGTAAATAAATTTTATTGCAAAGAATTCTTTATACGACATCTGCAGGGTACATCACCCTAATTCTTTCTGTCCATATTATGGAAATATAATCAATGTAACGATAATATGTATATGGTATGTGGGGCTGTGTACATAAAAATCAGATTTCAAGGTCAACCGTGAAAAGATTAGCATATTGTGGTGACACTTTTGTGCTCATCGCTGTCCCTGTCATTTATAAGTAGTTATTGTTATTAAAACTGAAATAGTTGTGTGTGAGTATGAATTCTATAAGCTGGGCAATAATTGTGTGTTGGTTTGTTGGACGAGATAAATTCAATGCAGGTGTCAATACCATCCTTATGTGGGTTTTACTGTATGAGAATACCATCCTTATGTGGATGTTACTGTATGAGAATACCATCCTTATGTGGGTTTTACTGTATGAGAATACCATCCTTATGTGGGAAGTTACTGTATGAGAATACCATCCTTATGTGGGATGTTACTGTATGAGAATACCATCCTTATGTGGGAAGTTACTGTATGAGAATACCATCCTTATGTGGGTTTTACTGTATGAGAATACCATCCCTATGTGGGATGTTACTGTATGAGAATACCATCCTTATGTGGGTTTTACTGTATGAGAATACCATCCTTATGTGGGCAGTTACTGTATGAGAATACCATCCTTATGTGGGAAGTTACTGTATAAGAATACCATCCTTATGTGGGATGTTACTGTATGAGAATACCATCCTTATGTGGGATGTTACTGTATGAGAATACCATCCTTATGTGGGTTTTACTGTATGAGAATACCATCCTTATGTGGGATGTTACTGTATGAGAATACCATCCTTATGTGGGATGTTACTGTATGAGAATACCATCCTTATGTGGGATGTTACTGTATGAGAATACCATCCTTATGTGGGATGTTACTGTATGAGAATACCATCCTTATGTGGGAAGTTACTGTATGAGAATACCATCCTTATGTGGGAAGTTACTGTATGAGAATACCATCCTTATGTGGGTTTTACTGTATGAGAATACCATCCTTATGTGGGTTTTACTGTATGAGAATACCATCCTTATGTGGGATGTTACTGTATGAGAATACCATCCTTATGTGGGATGTTACTGTATGAGAATACCATCCTTATGTGGGAAGTTACTGTATGAGAATACCATCCTTATGTGGGATGTTACTGTATGAGAATACCATCCTTATATGGGTTTTACTGTATGAGAATACCATCCTTATGTGGGATGTTACTGTATGAGAATACCATCCTTATGTGGGATGTTACTGTATGAGAATACCATCCTTATGTGGGAAGTTACTGTATGAGAATACCATCCTTATGTGGGATTTACTGTATGAGAATACCATCCTTATGTGGGAAGTTACTGTATGAGAATACCATCCTTATATGGGTTTTACTGTATGAGAATACCATCCTTATGTGGGTTTTACTGTATGAGAATACCATCCTTATGTGGGATGTTACTGTATGAGAATACCATCCTTATGTGGGAAGTTACTGTATGAGAATACCATCCTTATGTGGGATGTTACTGTATGAGAATACCATCCTTATGTGGGTTTTACTGTATGAGAATACCATCCTTATGTGGGTTTTACTGTATGAGAATACCATCCTTATGTGGGAAGTTACTGTATGAGAATACCATCCTTATGTGGGAAGTTACTGTATGAGAATACCATCCTTATGTGGGAAGTTACTGTATGAGAATACCATCCTTATGTGGGTTTTACTGTATGAGAATACCATCCTTATGTGGGAAGTTACTGTATGAGAATACCATCCTTATATGGGTTTTACTGTATGAGAATACCATCCTTATGTGGGAAGTTACTGTATGAGAATACCATCCTTATGTGGGAAGTTACTGTATGAGAATACCATCCTTATGTGGGTTTTACTGTATGAGAATACCATCCTTATGTGGGAAGTTACTGTATGAGAATACCATCCTTATGTGGGATGTTACTGTATGAGAATACCATCCTTATGTGGGATGTTACTGTATGAGAATACCATCCTTATGTGGGATGTTACTGTATGAGAATACCATCCTTATGTGGGATGTTACTGTATGAGAATACCATCCTTATGTGGGATGTTACTGTATGAGAATACCATCCTTATGTGGGATGTTACTGTATGAGAATACCATCCTTATGTGGGAAGTTACTGTATGAGAATACCATCCTTATGTGGGATGTTACTGTATGAGAATACCATCCTTATGTGGGATGTTACTGTATGAGGCTACATCCTTATATGATGGGACTGTTACTGTATAAGAATACCATCCTTTGGGATGTTATGAGGTATTGTTACTGTATGAGAATACCATCCTTATGTGGGAAGTTACTGTATGAGAATACCATCCTTATGTGGGATGTTACTGTATGAGAATACCATCCTTATGTGGGATGTTACTGTATGAGAATACCATCCTTATGTGGGTTTTACTGTATGAGAATACCATCCTTATGTGGGATGTTACTGTATGAGAATACCATCCTTATGTGGGAAGTTACTGTATGAGAATACCATCCTTATGTGGGATGTTACTGTATGAGAATACCATCCTTATGTGGGATGTTACTGTATGAGAATACCATCCTTATGTGGGTTTTACTGTATGAGAATACCATCCTTATGTGGGATGTTACTGTATGAGAATACCATCCTTATGTGGGTTTTACTGTATGAGAATACCATCCTTATGTGGGATGTTACTGTATGAGAATACCATCCTTATGTGGGATGTTACTGTATGAGAATACCATCCTTATGTGGGATGTTACTGTATGAGAATACCATCCTTATGTGGGAAGTTACTGTATGAGAATACCATCCTTATGTGGGTTTTACTGTATGAGAATACCATCCTTATGTGGGAAGTTACTGTATGAGAATACCATCCTTATGTGGGATGTTACTGTATGAGAATACCATCCTTATGTGGGTTTTACTGTATGAGAATACCATCCTTATGTGGGATGTTACTGTATGAGAATACCATCCTTATGTGGGATGTTACTGTATGAGAATACCATCCTTATGTGGGAAGTTACTGTATGAGAATACCATCCTTATGTGGGATGTTACTGTATGAGAATACCATCCTTATGTGGGATGTTACTGTATAAGGATTCCACATCCATGGTTACTAGTATTGTGTTTTCAGGTAGTTCATTTATCTGGTTAAGTTTATTAAGGAAGTCTGTAGTGTCCTGTATAAAGCTCTCAGTTTTAATAACTAGAGGCTTAAGAATGTTTTCTATGAGGCCAGATATTTGTTCCGTGAGTGTTCCCATACCTGTTATAATGGGCCATCCTGGGTTTCCTGGCTTGTGAATATTGGGCAGCATGTAGAAGGTTCCCATCTGAGGATTGAAAGGCACCAGATTTCCTAATTCTTGCTGTTTTGAAAATGATTTGATACGTTTTGTAAGTAGGCCGTGTATTCGCTGGTGGGGTCCTTGTCCGTTTGTTTGTTCCATTCTGTAATATAGTCCTGGGTGTTCATGACAACGACACTATATATACACATACATACAATACTAGGATAATACTAGGTTAATATAAATGTGAAAGAACTATAGAAAATTATGAGACTGTTTTTCTTATCTGTAACTTTATTATTTGGTGAATCATTCTTTAAAGCTTTTTCACCCAGTCAAAATGTTCATGTTTGTTTCCAATAACCCGTTGACACAGACACTTACATATAAACAACTGCCAGGTTATGCATCCATCCACCGCGATCGTGTATAATCTATTAGCATCATTTCTGGTCTTGTGGTTTGATCAGATGCAACTTTGCAAACCTAAGCCGTGCTGCCATGTTCTCTCCTGGCAACCCTTCCAAACAAACCAAGCTTGTTTAGTCTTTTTCTAATTGTGCTATCAGGAACTTTAATGCCGAGGCCGGTAGAGTCTGAGATGTAACTCTTGGGGTTTCTGCAACTTCTCTGAGCATTACACGGTCTGACCTGACCTGAGGGGGGATTTGCTGGGACTTCCACTCCTGGAAAGATTGGCAGCTGTCTTGAATGTTTCCACTTTTGAATCATCTTTCTCACTGTAGAATGATGAACTTTAAATTGATTGGAAAGAGCTTTATACCCATTCCCTGTTTGATGGGCAGCAACATTGTGTTTCCGTCTTGCATTGTCGAATTGCCCGGAAGTCCCTCTAGTGGCTTTATGGTAGACAGCTACTAGAGGGGGAGTTAATCCTAGAAGGTAATTATTGCAGTTTACTAAAAACTACAATAATTACCTCTACAGGGTTAAAGGACATGGGACACTGCACACAAATCACTTCAATGAGCTCAAGTGGTCTGGGTGCATATTTTGTCCCTTTCACACCTGCTGAACAACAGATAATTGTTATAATGTTCTAATTTGTAAAACTATGGAATTCAAAGAGGATGTACTTTCCTTCTCCCATGGATGTGTATATATATATATTAAGTTTGGCATACAATACATTGGGATCTTGACATTGAGATAACTGTCCACATACCGTAGCACGTAGGATTGGAGTAATTTGTGTTGGTTTAGATGGTGAAATAAAGCCACTAATTAGAATCACAATGAAAGTAGTGAGAGATGCGTCTGTTCAGACTGGTAGTGGTTCAGCCTACCGTTTATAAATAATGATAATCTGATTAGAGAAGCAATTCCAACTCAGCAAGAAACTAAATTCTAAAAATTCTGTCTGTTGTACAGAGAGAGATACATTTAAATGATCTATGTTTTTTTTTTTACTAAATCTTTCATACAAAGTAGAAACCAAATCAACGCTCGGGTCAGAACACATTGTTCCAAAGCAATATCTGATTCAGCAAATGTGTCAGGATTAGACTCGAGCCACATGTTCCGCGCTTGTTTTTTTATTAAACCCATCTTTAGCATAGGCTTATAATCCTGATATGTAGCAATGCCAGTTCTACATTCTACATGTCCTCTGTGACTGTGTCCTACCATTTACAATTCCAATGTCGGGTTACACACAAAAGGAGAACAGTCACACGTCAGATCTGGAAAATCCAGAGTGATAGCTAACACGATAACATTTTGTGTTTGTCATTAAGAAGCATTGTTAATAGCCACAGCCAGTCTGAGTTTATTGCTAAACAAAACCAGGAGATCTCCATGAACCACCGCTGTGTTTAGCTTCTTGCATGTATGCCTCCATTGATGCCGACCACCACTTAGCATTACCGTTTTACAATTGGATGTACACAGGTCCGGACTAGGGATACAAAGCAGCCCTGGAAAAAAATGTCGTGTCAGCCCCCATAAGTCATTATGCCATGTAGTGTGTGTGTATGTATATGTGTGTGTGTGTGTGTATATATGTGTGTGTGTGTGTGTATATATCAAATCTATGTTTGTAAATTATGATCTGGGAGGGCAAGACATAGCCATATATGAGATTTTATGTAAATGTAAATTTAAGCTATATATATATAGTCTTCATTATCTTTTTATTGTCCTAATAAATGGCTATATAGTGAACTAAAACATCAACCTTTTTCTGATGGATTAGAAGCATAATAAAGCAGCGTTTTTGTTTTTAATTTGATTAAACGGAGTGCTGGTGTATATTGAAAAACAATGTGTTTGTGTGTCTATATACATATATATTTATTATTGGTATTCTTCTTTTTCTAATTCAAAAATGGCTAGGGTGGCGTTTGGCTCTATCCCAACTCCTTGGCTGAGATCATCAGAATTGATTATCTCAGCCAATCCAATACTTTCCCATAGGAAAGTATTGGATTGGCTGAGATTGTCAATTCTGATATTCTCAGCCAAGGAGTTGGGATGGAGCCAAACGCCACCCTGGCCAATCAACATCTCTTCATAGACATGCATCGAATCTATAGAGAAAGTTCGGTGTCTCCATGTAGAGCATGGCGACGCTGAACATCAGTGCTGCACACCCAGGAAGCACCTCTAGTGGCTGTCTGATGAGTGGCCACTAGAGATGTTCCTTGGCTGTAATGTAGATACTTTTGTTTGAAAAGGCAATGTTTACATCAAAAAGCCTGCAGGGACAGGGATAAGCCTGCAGGGACTGACTATACTCACCAGAGCAACAACATTAAGCTGTAGTTGTTCTGATGCCTATAGTGTCTCTTTAAATTATGCCATAAACATACTCACATGCAGACACAGAAAATCTCACGGACAGAAGCACACAAGCTCATTGATATACCTAAGCTCACTGACATAAAAACACAAGTTTACTGATACACACAAACAGGCTCACCGACAGACAATCTCACTGACACACACAAAAGCTTACTACAGACAAACTGACTTGCATACACACAGATGCTTACTACAGACTAGCTTATTGTCACAAACATGCTCACTATAGACAAGCTAACTAACACACACACAAACTCATTACAGGCAAGGTCACTGACACACACACACACACATACAACTCCCTAGCAGACACATACACACAAAATTACTGTGATAGGCTAAAGCCTAACTGGCACTGAAGACTGTGGGAGCACTGGGATGTGGAGTTGCCATTTTCTTGCAGAGCTTGAATGTGGGGGCCAAACTTGCATTTGAACTTGAGTGTGGGGCCTAAGAGGTCCCAAATTGATGGGAATTGTGAAGAGATACTCACAGTGCTTCTTCTAGCCGCCGGCTGCCTAAATGTGGCCACATTAGCCCCCAGCGCCTACTTCATTAATCCCCTCGGACTGACACAGACTGTCAATGTCCGAGGGGAAAATAAGTTAAAAGGCATTAGTCTAATGATTAACGCTGTCTGCCTAGCTCCAGGTGCTACGGCTCACCAGGAAATTTCCCAATATCCCCGGTGGGTCACTCCGGCCCTGGATGTAGGTAAGGAAGAGGTTGCAATTCCCATGTACGTACCATAGCAACTCTACCAGGACAATATTAAAAATTTACTCATAGATCACCTGGAACTCAGCAATTTGCCCTTAGTGTTTGTATACAGCTGGCCTGGTAAATGTCATACCATACACCCTGCTTATAGCTAGGATTTAGTGCTTACGTGTACTCAGATAGAAGAAATGTCATTTTAATATAAGAAGTATTTATAGTTTGCTTGTTAACTTGTCTGTGCAGGAGTCATATTTACCCAGATAGTAACTGGTGGGTCATTCTTGCCGTCTAGCGTGTAAATCAGATGTTACTAAGGGTTTAGCATCACTCATTAATCTCTATGGGGGATGTTTAAACATTCAGCAATGTCCCCTCCCCTTCAGTATAACTCACATTAAACAGAGACTTTGAAGATTGAAAAGGTTCTCAGTTGAGATCAAAATTTTGTGTTTTTCTGTATTTTCCAATAAAAACTGCTGTATAAGTGATCATGAGTGCCTGCACTACATTTATTGTTTTACCATTGGAGTGGAGTGAGCAAGCCCCAGGTTCCGATGCACCAGGACCACATAAGAGTGCGGAATCCTACTTTTGTTAGATCAAAATAGCAGACGTATTCTACATTTTTTTCAGTTTGTATTTCACATTCAGCTATTCTGGCTCAAACAATGCAATTCCAGATTTAGTAAATAAATCTCTCAGTATATCTACAAATTACAAAAAAGACATGAAAGGGAATAAAACAATGTAATATTATAAATTGACCATAGGTTTATTTTTGCAAGAAATGTTTTGACAGTCACAGACAGCAGTACATCGGATTTCGCCACTAGGTGGCTCTCTTCACATAACAATATACTTAAAGGTGGTAATTGTTGTAGCTACATTTACCTGTCTGTGTCTAATAATGTATATTAATAAGTGTATTAATAATGTATATTATTTTGCTAATCCTTTTTTTCCCAGAGTTCACCACAATAGGGGTTATTTCACCCATAGGGTTACTCATTAAACTCAGAACTGTTGACTAATCGACTTCCATATCTTCAACCGATGAGTCTTGTGTACCAGGATGGTTGACGTCCATTGATTTAACTGGCCCGCTTTCAACACGTATTTCTGACAGCTTTTTAACCAGCTCCTCTAGGGTTATTCTTTGAAAACTGAACTCCATATCTGCGACCCGTTGTCTTTTGGGCTGGAAACCGTCCTCATCTTCAGCTTGACCTTCAATAACAATTACAATAATTTATATAGTGCTGACATATTCTGCAGCACAGTACAATAGGTAAATAAAAAAGACAAACAATGCTAACAAGACTCATTTGACATACAGAAACAGTAGGTGAAGAGGAATCAATTGAGCTTACCTTCCCAGCATCTTTTGCGTTTACGACTGCGAAACACTGGACTTTCATTGGCCTTAGTTTGGCCAGCTTCCCCTTTGCACCGTTTAACGTCAGGACATCGACCAACCTTGGTGATATCCCCTTTATTAAGCTGTTGGGATCTCCCAAACTGGGACTGACGGTTTTGGGGATAGTTGAAGTCCGTTGATTTAACTGGCAGACTTTGAGTAGGTAGGTCGTATTCTGACAGTTTTTTATCCAGCTCCGCTAGTGTCATTCTAGGAGGACTGTACTCCATATCTGCATTCTGCTTTCTTTTCTGATGGAAACCGTCCCCATCTTTGGCTTCAGCTTGACCTTCAATAACAATTACAATGATTTATATAGTGCTGACATATTCTGCAGTGCAATTCTAAGAATATATGTTTGACAAATGGAAACAGTAGGTGAAGAGGAAACAAATGAGTTTACCTTCCCGGCATCTTTTGCGCTTACGACTGCGAACTGGGCTTTCGTTAGACTTAATTTGGTCAGGTTCCTCTCCGCCCCTTTTAACTTCAGGACAATGACCATCCTTGGTGCTATATACTCTAAACTGTTGGGATCTCCCAAACTGAATGTTATCTTTGGGCATCTGCCTGGCATGGGGAACATTTTGTGTCTTTCTCTTGTCTTGCCTTCTTCCCACTTCTCCTCTACATTGGGATTGACACTTCTGGGGATAGTTGAAGTCCGTTGATTTAACTGGCAGACTTTGAGTAGGTAGGTCGTATTCTGCCAGTTTTTTATCCAGCTCCTCTAGTGTCATTCTAGGAGGACTGTACTCCATATCTGCCTTTTGTTTTCTTTTGTGCTGGATTCCGTCCCCATCTTTGGCTTTGGCTTGACCTTCAATAACAATTACAATGATTTATATAGTGCTGACATATTCTGCAGCGCAGTACAATAGGTAGAAAATAGACCAGCAATTCTAACAAAACAGAGTTGACAAAGAGAAACAGTAGGTAAAGAGGAAAAGGTTAGCTTACCTTCCCAGCATCTTTTGCTTTTATTATTGCGAAACACTTGGCTTTCATTGGCCTTAGTTTGGCCAGGTTCCTCTCTGCCCCTTTTAACCTCATGCCAATGTCCATCCTTGGTACTATACCCTCTAAACTGTTCTGATCTCCCAAACTGTGGGTCATCTTTGGGCACCTGCCTGGCATGGGGAAAATTCTGCATCTTTCTCTTCTCTTGCCTTCTTCCCACCTCTCCTTCATATTGGGACTGACAGTTTTGGTGATCGTTCTGCCTCTCTGATCCATCCATTTTATCTTGCACAGAACGTCTTTTTGCCATGTTCTGGTCAAATCGCCTGTTTTTAGCTAGATGATGGATCTAGCGTGAAGAATCCCGGAAGTTGAACTGTTTCCGTGGTTGGTCTTTCATTCCGTAACTAAAGCTCCTGTTTTTGGGGTGCTTCCTCTCACGCTCCATCAAATTTCGACATGGGCTGTAAAACCCTATCAATGTAGGTGCACCTGCTGTGCTATGATATTTTCTTATTTGTCTTTTCCACAATTGTATGTACTTTTTATGTAATCCGTTCATCCTTAGAATTATTAAAGGTAGGCCTCCCTTTCCTATTTTCTGTTACTCTCCCCATTAGGACTTTCAGTCCTCCCCTGTCTAGATTGTGTTTTGAGGGTTTTTTCCCTACCATAGGGAGAGGGACGTTGGGCACCTTTGGAGCTAATCCATTAACCCCCCCATATACATCGGGGCTCCTAGATCAGCCCCTATTTATTTAGTCTCTTTTACTTTCAATGATAAATTATGTGAATAATATCTATTTTTGCATAATCTGGTGTGCTATGGGTTTCTTGTGACATCTGATTTCACCACTAGGTGGCTCTCTTCACATATTATACTTAAAAGGTGGTAATTTTTGTAGATACATTTACCTGTCTATGTCTAATAGTGTCCATATCAATAGATGAGTCTTGTTTACCGGGATGGCTGACGTCCATTGATTTAACTGGCCGGCTTTCAACACGTATTTCTGACAGCTTTTTAACCAGATCCTCTAATGTAATTCTGGGAGATCAGAACTCCATATCTGGGACCCGTTGTCTTTTGGGCTCGAAACAGTCCTCATCTTGAGCTTGACCTTCAATAACAATTACAATATTATATATAGTGCTGATATATTCTGCAGTGCAGTACAATAGGTTTAAAAAAAAAAAGAAAAAAAAGACAAACAATTCTAACAAAACATATTTGACAAACGGAAACAGTAGGTGAAAGGGAAAGAAATGAGCTTACCTTCCCAGCATCTTTTGCGTTTACGACTGCGAAACCCTGGGCTTTCAGTGGCCTTCGTTTGGCCAGGCTCCCCTCTGTCCCTTTTAACCTCAGTCTCAGGACAATGACCATCCTTAGTGCTATCCCCTCTAAACTGTTGGGATCTTCCAAACTGAATGTTATCTTTGGGCTTCTGCCTGGCATGGGGAACATTTTGCATCTTTATCTTACAATTGTGCTCAAAAGTTTGCTTACCCTTGGAGAATTGGTAATATATGTACCATTTTTAAAGAAAACATGAGTGAGCCGGCAAAACACATTTCTTTTATTTCTTATGGGATTCATATTCAACTGTAGGTTATAACAGAATAAAACAAAACATGGCAACAAAGAAAAAAATGAAATGACCCCTGTTCAAAAGTCTGCATACCCTTAGTTCTTAATACTGTGTATTGCCATTTTTAGCATCAATAACAGCGTGCAATCTTTTGTAATAGTTGTCTATGAGCTCCTTAATTCTTGCAGGTGGTATAGCTGCCCATTCGTCTTGGCATATGCCTCCAGGTCATGCAAAGTCTTTGGTTGTCTTGCATGAATTGCACGTTTGAGATCTCCCCAGAGTGGCTCGATGATATTAAGGTCAGGAGACTGTGGTGGCCACTCTAGAACCTTCACCTTATTCTACTGTAACCACTGGAGGGTCAACTTGGCCTTGTGCTTAGGGTCATTGTCATGCTGGAAAGTACAAGAATGTCCCATGCGCAGCTTTCGTGCAGAAGGTTGCAAATTGTCTGCCAGTATTTTATAACATGCTGCATTCATCTTGCCATCTATTTTTACAAGATTCCCTGTGCATTTAGAGCTCACACCCCCCAAAACATCAGTGAGCCCCCACTATGCATTGACAGTGGGGATGGTATTCTTTTCACTATAGGTCTTGTTGACCCCTCTCCAAACATAGCGCTTATGGTTGTGACCATAAAGCTCTATTTTGGTCCCATCAATACAAATTACAGTGTGCCAGAAGCTGTGAGGTGTGACAAGCATATTGTAACTGGCTTTTTTGTGGCATTGGCGCAGTAAAGGCTTCTATCTGGAAACTCGACCATGCAGCTCGTTTTTGTTCGGTATCGTCGTATTGTGCTCCTTGAAACAACCACACCGTCTTTTTCCAGAGCAGCCTGTATTTCTCCTGAGATTAAAGAAAAAAAGTTACCTGTGCCCTCTACTTAATCCCTATGTATATTCAAACAAATGGAGGTAATTTAGTTACTCCAATGGCCACTGGAGAGAATGCCCGCCTGCCAATATCCTGAGATTACCCGTGGGTTTATCTTTGTATCCTGAACAATTCTTCTGGCAGTTGTGGATGAAATCTTTCTTGGTCTACCTGACATTGGCTTGGTATGAAGAGATCCCAGAATTGACCACTTTTTTTTTTTTTTTTTTAAATGTATTTTATTTTCGGTTTTCACTTAATATGCATATTATGCAAAAGATGGGTAACGTGGGATGGGGTACACGGAGAGAAAAAAGGGGGGGGGGAGGGAAAGGGAGGGCGACATGCATAAACATTGTATCATAGCCATACAAAAAGTATTAGTAATAACATCTATGCATAGAGTTGTATATTCGTCATTAGACACAATTTACCAGCTTCTGACTATAATACATATATACATATATACAATGGCAGTTCTATTCAAGTTAGCCTGATACATTCTAAGGCACTAATTTGCATCTGTCCGCCCTAACTTTTGGACCTCCGGGGCGGGAGGGGAGAATGGTGGGGGATTAGCGAGGTTGTGCTATGGCATAGAGTATTTATTATATTGTGTTGGTGTTGAAGAGAAGGGCAAAAGGGAAAATGGTCAGTTAGAAGCTGTTACACGGTGTTAGCTTGGGAAGCCCTTTTTTACTGAGGAGCTTGGTAGAGTGTCAAAAATGCCGCATCGTCTTTCATGTCTTTCCATATCTATAGTCCACCCATCTACGCCACCTTGTTTCATGTCTACTCTGCCTCTCAGTGATACGGCTTGCCATGTGTTCGTAATTATATATCGAGTCTAATCTGCCCAGAATTTCTGATAGCGTGGGCACCTGTGTGGATTTCCACTTTTGGGCAATCGCAGTTTTAGTTGCCATTAGGCAATGGATCGTTAAATAGCTTTCCTCTTCGTGAAGATTGTCTGGGAAAATGTGTAATAAAAAGCTTTCTGGTGTCAGTGGGACCTTGATCCCTAAATCCGTACAAAAAAGTGTGTGAATAGCCTTCCATAATGATGTGATCTGTGTACATGTCCAAAATATATGATATAGGGATCCCTCTTGATTTTGGCATCTCCAGCAGAGTTTGTTCGCATTAGGGTATATGTGTGCCAATTTTTTGGGGACCAGGTACCAACGCATAGTTAGTTTACAGTAGGTTTCCCACTGGTTGAGGCTGTGTGAGGCCTGCTTTGTTAACTTCTGAGCCTGATGCCACGTGGCTACTGGGAATTGTATTCCCAGGTCCAGTTCCCAGTTTGTCATGTAGGAAGGTTTTGTTGCCGTATATTGGGTAAGAAGTGTATTGTAGCAGAGGGATAGTGCTTTAACCTTGGGAAGTTTCCCCTTACACTTATGGACAAATGGTGGTATGAGGTTATATTCTTTCATGGTAATCCGGCTTTCCTGAATAATATTCTTTAGCCTCAAATAGGTGAATAGTTCCCTGGCTGGGATATTAAATTCCCTAACAATTTCGGGGAATGGTTTGACGCCCTCTTGGGTTAGCAAGGAACGTACCCCTGAGATCCCCCGGCTAAGCCAGTTTTCTAGCTGTAGGTTCGTCGTGCGGGTGGCCAAGGCTTGAAGTGGGGCCTCAAGGAGTAGGTCATTCTCCTTGAGGAATAGAGGAATAGTTTGTCTCCAAGTCCGGAGCATTATCCCCGTGGTTGGGAGCAGATTTTTTGATTGTAATGGTATTGAGCTAGCCCAGAGGAACATTGGAATCGTGCCAGTGGGCAGACAAGCGTTTTCCAACGCCAGCCACACCGGAGGGGACTTCCTCTCAAGGATCGTGAGACCCTGTGCCATTAATGAAGCTTTGTGGTATAATTTAATGTTGGGTACGCCCAGCCCGCCTTTTGTGAATGAACGCCAAAGAGAGTTTTGTGTTATTCGTGGGGGCTTACGTTTCCAAATGTGTGCATTGATCTTGGCCTGAAAGTGAATTGACCACTTCTTAATAAGTGATTGAACAGTACTGACTGGCATTTTCAAGGCTTTGAATATCTTTACATTTCCTTTTCCATCTTTATAAAGTTCCATTACATTTTTAGCAGGTCTTTTTTTTTTTTTTTTTAACATTCTTTTTTTATAACCATGCAAATGGAAAAAGACAAGCTTGTCATGCCACAAAATCATTGGCAAACTCTTCATCAACATACATGGTGACGTAGTAATGTGACATGAGGAGAAAATGCACTTTTTATGAAAATAATATAATAAATTGAGCAGACTAGACCATTAAATAGACAAGGCCTACACTCCAGAGTGAAGACTAGTAGTGAGTAAAGCCATATTCAACGTTAGCCGTGTATACATGAGTTAGTGACCAATTAGTGATTAGCAGTGACAGGATAGGTATAAATAGCCTAGAGCTTCTTACAAAGTAATCAGGGATTCCTATTAGTAGCATTGACCAAAAGGTGTACATTGGGTTGGAGTGCAGGCTAGGCCCGACAGAGTAAAGCATGAAACTAAGAATAAATCAAGGTTTTATGAGAAGAACATGCTCATAAGAAGAGTTGTGTAGCAAGCTAGTGTTACATGAATATAAGAACCACTGGTACTTGGCACTGCACAATGATATCACTGTATAGTAATAAATGATAGGTAATGTGAAAAGAAATAAAACAGGATGGGCATCAATGGTTAAGGGCATAGGAGGGCACCAAAGTGGTAAGTGTTGGTGTATAAAATAATATGAACACCTCAGCATATTAAGCCAATTGCCCTATGTGGGAAGTCCAGAGTCAGCCAATGCCCTCGTTTGGGAGAGCATAGAGGTCGGCAAGAAGTGCGGTACGACGGTTGCAGGACAGGATAGCCCTATATAAAGTGCCCACAGCGCAGCAGGGCAACGTGCTCTTCCAGCCATAGAATTGTGTGGAAGCCTACATCTTTTTTCCACCGACTCGGGAATCTTGTATGGCCAAGTCCCTCCCCTGTCTGGAGTAAGCAGAGGGTCTGGGCGTTGCGCACTGTTTCCGGCGGGTGATCCTGCACTTCTGTGGGTGTTGCATAGAGGCTATGCCTCGAGGGGCTCCCAATCCAGGCAGGTGTGCAGTGGGGTAGGTACATGCTCACGTGTGGACATCACCCACAGGAGGTCCGCTCTGCTCCAGCAGGAAGCCTAACCCCTTGTCTCCTGTCGCTTAGGCAAGGTTGCTTGTGAACGCTCCTGTATTTTCAGCCAGAAGCATTCAAAGATGGTATCCAGGCGCTGCAAGGCAGATTTGACTGTGTCGCAGTAAGGCTTCTGACATGTGGGTAGTCCAGCTAGGGGTCACTCTCCATCTTGGAGCCTCTGTGTAGGTGTGATGCCGTCAGTGGCCACTTCAAGTCGTAAGGTTGGTGCAGAGTGAGTAGTCCCAGTGCGTCTAGTGGGGAGCGGGATAACCCTGTCGGTCCGGGTGGGTAAGAGCGTAGCAATACCAAGCTTCTGGAAGCGATGAGAGTGGCCACTCCCCCCCAGCTCTGTCCCCAGTAGGCCCCAGCAGAGTTTTTGGGTCTTTGGTGGATGAAAGGATCAAGGTAAGTTGCGGTATGTACAGCAAAGAACCCCTCACATTAGGGGAGCCCCGCATAGAGTGTGGCTGCAGTGTTATCAGGTTTGTCACCCCCAAATCGATTCTATCAGCAGGAGCTCAGGTGAAACACGTCAGCTCTGCATGGAAGACAGATTCTGCCCCCTTACGCAGGTCTTTTGACAGTTCTTTTCTGCTCCCCATGGCTCAGTATCTAGCCTGCTCAGTGCATCCATGTGAGAGCTAACAAACTGACTATTTATACACAGACACTAATTGCAATTTAGAAAACCACAGATGTGGGAAATTAACCTTTAGTTGCCATTTTAACCTGTGTGTGTCACCTTGTGTGTCTGTAACAAGGCCAAACATTCAAGGGTATGTAAACATTTGATTCGGGCCATTTGGGTGATGTATGTTACCATTATGATTTAAAAAGGAGACATACAACTATGTTATAATAAATAGCTTCATATGATCACTATCTTTCAATAAAATAACACGATCAGTCATATTTTTTTTAAATCCATGCCAAAATATCACAATTTCTGCCAGGTTATGTAAGCTTTTGAGCACAGCTATATCTTGCCTTCTTCCCACCTCTCCTCGACATTGGGACTGACAATTTTGGCGATAGTTGAAGTCCGTTGATTTAACTGGCAGACTTTGAGTAGGTAGCTCGTATTCTGCCAGTTTTTTTATCCAGCTCCTCAAGTGTCATTCTGGGAGGACTGTACTCCATACCTGCATTCTGTTTTCTTTTGTGCCGGAAACCGTCCCCATCTTTGGCTCCGGCTCAACCTTAAATAACAATTACAATGATTTATTTAGTGCTGACATATTCAGCAGCGCAGTAGAATAAGTAAAAAAAAGTTTTTTAACTAAATGTTTTTAAATACCTTATTAAGATGATGTTGCTGTACGGCTTAATTCTGCATTGTTACCTCTGTAATGGTACAAATACTTGGATACTTCCGCTTGTGATTTCACAATGACATCCATGTGAATTCATGATAAGTGAGGTGGGGAGAGGGGAGTTCCTTGTAGGACATATTTAGCATGCGATAACAACGTTATATACTCGAGCAACCATAGGTTTTAACATTATGTGCTGCCTCAAGTGCATGCAAAAAAACACATTTTATTTTCTACTTATTTGTTTTAATTCGGTTTTGTCAAGAGCATGAGATGTTCATTAGTTTATTAATACATTTCTATATGTAAAAACAAGAAATGGGTAAATGGCGCTAAAAATATATAACTAATAAAATCCAATAAAAAAAAAAAAAATCAATATCCCAGTACGACTAAACCAAACCAGTGTTAAGTCACCTTTAACCCCTTAAGGACACATGACATGTGTGACATGTCATGATTCCCTTTTATTCCAGAAGTTTGGTCCTTAAAGGGTTAAACACTTACATACATGGAATTGGATACAAGGGAAGCAGGTTTGCGCACACGGTGGATAGGTATTTTTAAATCTGTAATATACAAAAAACCTTCATAGGGCAATATATATTTATAAAATACAAAACAGGAATATAACTAGGAGCACTCACAATCTTATGAGCCCTATAAGTCGGCTCTAAACTGTAGTAGCGTGTAAGTAACTCCCGTAAAGTATCTGTGGTAGAGATGACAAGGGATTTGCCCTCTTCAACATGGCCGTGCGTTCCAGACATTTCCCCTTCGTCGTGTGACTTCAGTGATCACTTCCGGTTTCCGGCTTTTCCCGTCACTCCCGGTTTTCGTCATTCAGCGAAGAGTCCTCATATTGCCCTTACTTTGTTAAAAGGGCATGGATAGTCTATAATAAACAGTCTTTGATGCTCATATTAGCCATTTTGTTTATACGGAAGGAAGAGGGAAACAGAGGAATAAATATAAAATTAATTCAATGTCTAAAATGAATTCCAATTCAATACATATTACAAAATTATATTAAAAGAGAAAGAAAGGCCATGTTGAAGGGGGCAAATCCCTTGTTATCTATAAGAAATGAAACACATATCCACCATGATGGAAGTGGAAGAAAAACGGAAGCACCTTATATGGACCTATGTGGGTGGGTACTATATGTATTAGATACAGATGTTCTTTATTTTGTTATTAGTTCATATGGTATTTACACTTTTTACTGTTATCTCTGTTCATTGCACCTGAGGAAGACCAGGAGAGTGGTCGAAACGCGTTGTGCTATTTTTTATAAATTTTATTTCTTAATAAAGAGTTACCTTTATACTTATTTTTGGTTCCTGAATTTCCATCGAAAAGGAGAATTTCACTGGGGAACCGTCATCTCTACTACAGATACTTTACGGGAGTTACTTACACGCTACTACAATTTAGAGCCGACTAATAGGGCTCATAAGATTGTGAGTGCTCCTAGTTATATTCCTATTTTGTATTTTATGAATATATATTGCCCTATGAAGGTTTTTTGTATATTACAGATTTAAAAATACCTATCCGCCGTGTGCGCAAACCCTTGTATACAGTTCTATAAGTGTTGGTCAAGCCAACAATGTGTCAGTGCTGATCTGTATCTGTGTAGTGAGTCAAAGAATCTCCCCCGCCAACCTATGCAGGACTGATGTTACCGTAGCGCCCAAGAAACCGCCAAAGACCTCCTCACCAACTTAGGTTACCCTATTGCAGTGGGTGGGCACAGGGAAGCCCAGGATGACTCTAGTCTGCACCTCCAGCAGGTGCAGATTGAGTATATTAATCCCACACGCTCTGGCCATTCAGAGCATTGCTCTGGGTTATGATGGCAACAGTGATACTACACAGTGCCTGAGCTCACAAAATAAATGTACACACAGCCTGCACCTGCTGAAGGTGCAGACTAGAGTTCCTCACCACTCAACTATCATGGGTAGGAATGTCCCTCCTCTCTGGCCAAAGGTAAGAAACAGGGTGGGGGAAATAAAAACTATAAATATGTAAAATATTCTTTGCTTTTTCTTAATTTCTTCTGTGTCTTTTTCCAGTTGCTTGATATATACGTCTTTTGTATATATAGTCTTGGGCCACAGGCTCGCGACATTAATATACATTTATATTAATGAAAAGTACGAATACGCAATCTGACTTATGGTTTCTTACGGATTCTTCTTAGTTACTGATACATAATAAAACAGCAAAGGATGTTACATAATCATGGATGTTCAACAGCAGATGGTAATTGCTGGACTCCTGAAAGAAGAGTTACATTGTTACATCGAGAGAGAGAGAGACAGAGAGACCTCGCGTCTCTTTGTTCAGTTACTATATAGATGTGCCCATACTGACGTCAGAGTATAACTCTAGCCATATAAGGACATACAAGAAAGCCATGTGACTTAGACCATCTGTTACTTATGTCAATCCACACATCCATATATAATCAATAGAAACATAGAATATGCAATATTCTACAAAATGTTACATTGCTCTTCCTACCCTTACATCCCCTCACACACTGTCATAGTTCTAGCTTCCTTTGGCCACCAGCTCTGTGTCATTCTTCCGTGTGAGAAGGACCATTCACAAAGAGATGTGATTCTGTCAAAAAACAACCCTATTTGTTAGTTCTTTCCGAAGTCTAAATTTAGCAGGCTACCTCTGGTGACAGGATCCATGAATTTGTAATTGTCCCATTGCAATCAAGTTCAGCTTGAAGTTGAACAGGAGCCCTGCAGGTTTTTGTGCGAATTACAAGTTACAGAATTTTGTTGAATTCCGATGAGCTGCTTTCTGGATTTGTCATTCTAATCCGGTAGTTAAAACTCAAAGCTAGTTGAATAGCTACCTGCACTATAATAATAATATAGTAAAACATCTTACAAAGATTTTGTGATTCACAGGTAGCATTGTCTGATGTGGGAGGAGAGGACGTTAAATTGTTTATTTTAACAATACGTGGCTGGCTGCAGCTAATCTCTCCTCTTTCATCTGAATTTTCTCTGTTTTAGAAGGATTACATTTCTCTGTAAACACTTATTGTATACAACAGTCATCTGATGGAAGCGTGGCTATAAAGGTGTAGGCGGGTGCTGACATGTCATTTACTATCATGAGTTGATCTTGTAAATATGGAAAGACAGAGTTATGTTTCGTTTATATTGTCCATAAAGTATAAGGCCCTTCCTGTAAACTATAACAAGCAAAGAATTCATCAAATAATAAATGGCACGTGTTTATGCGTTATAGTTAATATATATGAAATATATAAGCTTTATTATACTTGGTACCCATTATATGAATGTATCTAAATAACTTTACTGTTGTTTATGCTGAGACATATAGCATTGTAAGGCTGCCCAAGCTTTAGTGGCCACCATACTCTATAGGTACCCTGCCCCGTGTAAATCACCCGCTGTGCCAACTAGTAACCCAATATCGCCTAGTCTATAAATCTCCTGAATCCCTAGACATGTTTGCCTAAAGATATTACGACCTCTTGCTATTACCCTATCCTATAAAATGTGCAGACTTGGCGACATTTTATTATACACACCATGTTTATTGTTGCATTCGACTGCCCTATCTAGGTTTCGACATATTCCCCCCTACAGGCACCGGCAGTCCTCCACAGACTGGATAAGATTCTATCAGCTATGTTTTAGGTCTGACTCCTACTCCTATCACTACAATCCACTAGCTAACACCCAGTGGAATCGCTTTTTTTTATATTTTCCACATGCTGTGTATATCTCAATTATATATTTTAGCATGTTATTTTGTAAGCTCTACTGTGTCTACTTCACCTAACGGGCAGCAGCCGAACCTAACAAATCCCACACCTTATATACCTGGTCTAAGGTATTTATGTTAACACAATCCTGAATGTTGAGATATACCCCTGTTCATAGGCTTGAAGCAACAGTTAAAGGACCACTATAGGCACCCAGACCACTTCAGCTCAATGAAGTGGTCTGGGTGCCAGGTCCCTTTAGTTTTAACAAAACACAAAAAAAGATCAATAATATATACTTATCAATAAAACAGAGAACAGCTTCCCACAGAACATCTCCCAAGTAGTGTTACGTCTAAACAAGGCGATTAGTATAATATACGTGGGATACAGCTGTTGAACTTAAAATATAATAAAATAGAACATAGCGTAATACAGTTAATAAATATATAATAACCCCTGCTAAAGATTGCACTCACGGATTTGAAGTTAAATGCGCTCTAATGGTGCCTCCTCTGATATTTGGGGGGCTGGTATCTCCCTCTCAGGATCAGGTGTCACCTAGTTTCAGGAACCATACAGGACTCCAACAGGTGGATCAGTAGAAAAAAAGATTTATTGATCACAATTTAAAAGTAGTGATTACAAAGCAAATTTGGTCTGTTCCCTCTACCCTCTAGTTTTAACCCTGCAGATGAAAACATAGCAGTTTCAGAGAAACTGCTATGTTTCACTGAGGGTTAATCCAGCCCCTAGTGGCTGTCTCACTGACAGCCGCTAGAGGCGCTTCCGCAATTCGCACTGTGAAAATCACAGTGAGAAGACGCTGGACGTCCATATGGGCTGTTTGAATGTGCGCATGCGCATTCAGATCTGACGTCGGCAGGGGGAGGAGAGTTCCCCAGCACAGAGGGAGTCCGGTAAGGTAAGTGGCTGAAGGGATTTTAACCCATTCAGCCCAGCGGGAGCGGGGCCCTGAGGGTTGGGAGGACCTAATGACCCTATAGTGCCAGGAAAACGAGTTTGCTTTCCTGGCACTATAGTGCTCCTTTAAGCATGTATATGACTTTAATGTAGTAACAGGTATCTCCACATTAACGAATTTAACATTAATTATATAGGCTATGATAGACCATGTTTAAATAACTCTTGCAAACAAAATCTTGATTGATTTATTCAACTCTACATATGTTCACGCAAAAGTTCAGCAGGTTTCTTATCTTTACGCATGTTTCTTATAATATAAAATTGTGCATGTTTACTCGACTACCCCGATTGTAAAGCTTGATACGATGCCAGAGGTACCTCAGGCTTGTATGTACCTATCTTATGCACTGCAAAAATATAAAATAAAATAAAATAAAAATAAATTACTTTAGATTGTAAGCTCATGGACTATTTAGCTAAACTCTATATACTCTATATATTTAACCCCTTAAGGACCAAACTTCTGGAATAAAAGGGAATCATGACATGTCATGTGTCCTTAAGGGGTTAAAACACACACAGACACATAAAAGGCTTATTCACTAAACAATAAAATAGGTCACAATTGCTGCCCTGCAAATAATTCTCCACTTAACTTAATTTTCCAACTTGTTTTATTTTTTTAACCATCAGATTTGCAGTTTAACCTAAATTCACAGTTTAGTAAAGCTGGACAGATTATAACTTTTCATTAGTAAATAGCAGCCTTGATCATTATATGACTCAACAATAGGAAATAATACAGTGAGCTGAACCAATAATAGGCTCCATTTACTGAATACTTAGCTGGTAATATAGGCTGGATTTCCATATTATGGGGCTGTCATAAGAATTTAAAGCCCATGCATGTGATGACGTCATCCAGACTGCCTTAGTCACGTGTCCAGTTTTAGCTTGATATTATCATCACACCATGTCACACTACAGAAACATTATGTGTAAAGCATTGACTAGTTACTAATGTCAGCTCATATTTACTAGTGTTTAATGATAACTAATGAAAAAAACTACCTAGAAACATTTCACATTACAAAGGGTTAATTTAAAAAGCTAACCTCAGCCAAGGCACCGCTGGGATTCGAACCCAGGATCTCCTGTTTACTAGACAGGCGCTTTAACCAACTAAGCCACGGCGCCGCACGGTGTTTCAGCCTGAAAACAGAACATCTTCTATGAAACAGTGTGTGACTGTGACCATATATACTGTTACTAATACACTAACTGCTACACCTCAAGCACTCAGTTCAGGAAAACACATATACACACAGCTTTATTGTGTACAATACTTTAATTGTGAGCATTTTCAGTATTCTTTAAAAAAAACCAAAAAAAAACATTTACACATGTGTTATGTACTGCTTGTAACTGCACACTGTTACTCTGTATTGTTCTGTACATACCGAACATAATACTGCAGAATTAAATGATACTAGAATTGGATTATATCATAATATTACAGAACATGGAGTTATAACATGGGATTACAGAGTGATTTTACCATGGGATTAAAACATTGAGTTATAACATGGAGTTATAACATGGGATTACAGAGTGCTTTTATCATGGGATTAAAACATTGAGTTATAACATGGGATTACAGAGAGATGTTATCATTGAATTATAACATTGAGTTATAACATGGGATTACAGACTGATTTTATCACGGGATTAAAACATTGAGTTATAACATGTAGTTATAACATGGGATTACAGAGTGCTTTTATCATGGGATTAAAACATTGAGTTATAACATGGGATTACAGAGAGATGTTATCATTGAATTATAACATTGAGTTATAACATGGGATTACAGACTGATTTTATCACGGGATTAAAACATTGAGTTATAACATGTAGTTATAACATGGGATTACAGAGTGATTTTATCATGGGATTGAAACATGGAGTTACAACATGGGATTACAGAGTGAGATTATGGAATGGGATTAAAACATGGCATTATTAAATTGTATTACAGAGTGAGATTATGGAATGGGATTAAAACATGGCATTATTAAATTGTATTACAGAGTGAGATTATGGAATGGGATTAAAACGTGGCATTATTAAATTGTATTACAGAGTGAGATTATGGAATGGGATTAAATGGTAGGTACAGGTGGTAAGGGAAATGCATTTTTGGAAGTGGCTGAACGTGCACGGCGACAGAAAACACAGGTTGTCAATTTGGAGTCATCCCAGTGCATGATGGCAAACGGCTTTTCACATTGTTCACACTGATATAGAGAGAAAAAGACAATGTAAGGGCACAGGGGAACATCTACGCCTCATGTGGGTATGTTTATGCACTCTGGTCAGTAAACCTGCTATCATTATAGTCAATATTTGGAGTCTTGGTCCCAGATTTCTTGGGGTAAACATTCCTCCACTCACGGGGGCCCTATTAGAAGTGATCACACCAATGCATACAGTTGAGCAGAGCCTCTTAAAACAATTTAAGCAGGCGTCAATCCACTAAACATAATTGATTTGGAGAATTTTTCCAATTCAGTTATTTGGCCTATAACTTAAAATTCATGTTAAATTCCCAATAATTCACACTTTATTAAATAGCCAAGTGAAACTAGTGTAGGACTTATTAATATTGGGGTACTTTGTTGCAGTGTTTGGCTCAAAGACAATGTGGACATATGGTGTAAACATCCATATTTTGAACTGAAATCAGCTGATTTTAGGTAGTTTGTAAGATTTCACAGTAGAATTGTTTATATTTGTGTGTATGTCTGTGTGCGTGCGTGCGTGCCTGCCTGTCTGCGCACTACTCTCTTAATAACAGAGAAGGTTCCTTACTGTTTTTTGGGGTTTTTTTGTGAGTACATCATTGCTTAATTAAAAACCATACCATAATCAGTCCATTGGGCTAGTTTACAAAGACTCCATGAAATACAGACCTGTGCCATGCGGGGGCCTATTGATTTCTTGTTTTCAATAACGGCAGGAATTTGTTCATGATTCTGGATATCCCACATTCTTAAAGTGGCATCCTGTACAAATACATTTGTAAAAATTATGCTCTTTGTTTTATCTTGTCCTAAAAGTACTATTTTAAAATAATGCTCGAAATGCATATTTTTTTTTTTTAATTCATGATTTAACAAAGTTAAAGAGACAATGGTAGCATGGCAAGCCCAGACTGGCCTTTGAGCAAACGGACAAGTGCCCAGTGAGCTGGAACTGTCATAGGTCGACTGGATCATCCAGTTAATTTTTCAACTTCTTACTAACCAGTTTCCTCCACTCCGCATGTGACGGCTTGTTGGCCTCGATGCGAGAGAGTTATAGAGGTCCGTGCTGCAAATGGATAAAGGAATCTAAGGAAAAGGTACAGAAAAGCTAATCTATGTTCAGGTGAGATTTAAGTGTCTACTACACTTTGCAGTGTGCTACAAGGCAGACAGCAGCTTTAAAGCAACTCTGTCACTTCTAAGTACTTCATAAATATATACTCTTCATGAAATAATTATCCAGATTCCAAGATCTCTGCCGCCATTTTGTTTCCAAACCTAGCAGCCATCACAAGTGGAGGCTGTGAGATTCAGGCATCACCTTGTTTATCATGAAACATGATCTATAGAGTCTCCCGCCGTTTTGCAGGATCCTCTATAGACCACATAACCCTCAAGAATTCGCGAGAGTACCAGGAGCTGAAGTTGGTCACCAGGAAGAAGATGGTGGTTGTCATGAGGAACTTCAGATAAATACACCTACCTTTCACTGCATCCTGGCGGCCACTGGATCCTAAATGGAGATGTCAACTTTGGGGGTCCTTGCAAAAATATGCAAAGACTGCCAAAAGTGACAGTTCCTCTTTAAGGATTGTTTTTTTAAATCTTACAGAGAAAAACAATTAATTGTGCTGTATTAGACTGACTCTAATCCTGTCATTTGCCCGGTATTATTCATACATATGAAATGGATAGAGTTGTTAACTCTTAATTAAAAAGAAAATAAAGATATGCAACCTTTGATGAGGAGAGGATCCATTGCTTATTTGAGCTTAGCGTTACGTCCAGTATCCAGTCTTCGTGGCCCTATAGAAATATTACTAAATATTATTAAATAATAAGAAATAATCTGGTAATATAGTTCGCTGCATACAATGGACATAATATACATCCCTCCAACACACACCCTATGAGAATATAACTTGATGACATGAATAAAACAGCAGAGACATTTAAAAAAAAAAAAAAAATCAAAAATCAGTGTCTGCAATTAAGAACATATATGACATATTCATGTTTCTCCCATATATAGTATGCAAATTACAATACCTTTAAGACAAGCTTTTTCCTTGCTGCATCTACATCCCATAATGCTATAGTCTTGTCATATCCACCAGACACGAGAATGGATGCTGGAAAATAATAAATATTTCATTCTCTACTTGTTACTGGTGCGCTAATCAGCTTAAATCTCAAACATACCTGTCCTGATTGGCTGCCGGTATACATTTTTGTCAGTCACCTTTCTTTTATCAGTAAATTTCTTTGATGAACTACATTGAGGGAAACTAAAACTAACGTTTCATTAGATGAAAACAATAATAATATGCTTTATGTGAAAAATGTTTGGAAGGCAGCATTAGAGGGAAGTCTAATCATGTCGTAGATCCCCAGATATTTTAGGACTTCATCTCCCATGATGCTTTGCCAACCTTTACAATGACAAAGCATCATGGAGATTGTAGTTCTAAAATATCTGGGGGTCTCCCTTTTTGGGTACTTTTACTCTACAGCTTGAGCCAAGCAAGATGGATTCCTCTAGAACCAGTATGTCATATCACATCTTGATGTCACTGTGCAGTGGAAATCTAACAAATGAGAATACTTACAATCTTTAGAAAATTCACAGGCGCTGATACATCCATTGTGAACTCCTTGAAGTATATTTGGCCCTCGGTGACGAAACTCCCCAGTATTAATATCCCAAAGTTTCAAGCTTTTGTCCCAGGAAGCCGTGCACAAGAAGCGACCATTTAAACTGAAGTCACAGTCCGAGATGACATTAGAATGTGCTCTACAATAAAATTGCAAAAAACAATAATTTGGGAATGAACAATTGTTATTTAAATAGAACAAACTTATTTTGTTTCACTTTGCATAGACCAGTTATTCTTCCTAACGTAGGGCACAGGGAGAAATCTTGTAACTTTTCAGATGTAAGAAGCTCTTATAAATTCTCTGATGATTAGTATCTCCTTGAACACTGAATGGTGAATACACTATATATCTACGAACTATAACTGAATGAGAGGCTCCTGATTGGTGGAGACTCTTCCTGGTTTGGGAGGAATCTGCCATCCGTAGACCCTGCCTGTAGAAATGCTGCATTTTTTAAACTTTAAAGGAATGGATTTTATTTATTTTATGTAATTATTTTGCATCTTTTTGTAATCAAATTGGCGCAGCTACTGCATAGTATCTTTGTAAGCTTGACCCCTGATTTCCATCAAGCTCCTTACTGGTTGATTGTGATGACTGTACGTTGTGCCACCATGTCCCAAAGCTTTATGGCGCCATCTGAAGACACTGAGCACACCCTCTGAGTCTCTGGATCGAACTGACACCTGGTTACGGTGCTGGAATGGTGACCTGAAACAGGGAGAAGCGTTACAGTTTGTGGAGGCCTTGCTGAGACCTGTGACATTAACCCTTCAGGGGCCTTTTAATTGTATGAAGACAAAAATGGAAGCATAATCCTTTTGAAGGTCTGACCCTAGATATTATTTTGAGAACAAGAGTGTGAGTATTAAGCCTTTTTACAGGATCTTTAAGGACAAAACTCTTTAAAAAAATTTTTTTTTTTAAACACCACTAGTAAAGTCTTAATAATTGAACCTTCTTTAGTCCTTTATTAGCAGATAAAAAAAAAAAAAAGAAGGGGGTTGGCTGGGGGGGTCACTGCAATTCAATTTTTTAAAAAGTATTATTTTTAATACCATAGAACTTGCGCCAAAACTCAGTCATTGCAGCACCCATTCCACCTCCTGTCTTGTCTTTGTGCCTACTGGCTCCTCTTCAACATGTTGTCCAAACAAATGTATTTCATAGCGAAGCATTGTAGACAAGAAACACACAAGCATCAAGCACCGCACTCCTCCAATCAAATGCTTGAATCCAATGCTTCTCTACGAAGCATTGATTGAACGTTTGACGTCCTAATGCAATGTGCAAGGATGACAAATGTCAAGAACTGAGTCTGACTTAGCTCTCACAGCGGAAGCACCATCTAGTGGCTGTCAGTGTAACAACCACTAGAGGTGTGTTTAGCGCCAGGACACTGCGAAAAGGCCGATACATTGGAATTAATTCATCTTTAAGCCTGTAATGTCCATTTACCCATCTGAAGGCAAGAGATGTGGAAATAAACCTTTTAGTGGCAAAATCTGTGTATATATCCATTCAGGGGTAAATTGTATTATCAAGTATTTCAAATGAACACTATGATATTAAACTTTTAAGAACAAAATATGTGCCATCAAGCCTTTGAAGTCAAAATGTGTGACGTTATCATCTGTAAGAGCACGAATAGTGCCAAGATTTGTGTTATATTAGAGTTTAACCACTAAGCACTAAATTCTAGTGAATTTAAAACCCAGTTGCAAAAATGAGGCTTAAATAGCCAAGGTGTTACTATAGATGGGTCGGAGTGAGTTTTTCCAAATCGACCTTTCTTTGATGAGATATTTAAATTCACCGCCATTTGGTGTTTAGTGAATAAAACCCCAAAGTCTTCTGAAGTTACAATTTGTATTGCTCACCACTTGATCATCGATGAGTTAAAATCTATCTCAAACTACAATAAACTTGGGAAAAATCCTACTTGGCCACATTATGTAGAGATTGTGGTTTTTTTGTTGCTAAACGACGTGCTATATTCTAACAATTCAGAAATATGATTTCCTTGTCTTTAACATAAAAGTGAAACATTAGCACCTCAGACCAAGTTAAATTATGATTACCATATAATAAATATTATTCACCGGCATTGTTTGCTGAATTTATTTCTAGAACGTACATTACATTCTTCTCTATGCTGATGTCAGTTGTAATTTCCTCGGGGAGTAATACATTTAGTCATGAATTATGGTGTATAGCAATTTTTGAAACTCAGCCTGTTTCAATGTTATTAGAACTTTTATACTGAGTAGTATATTGGATTAACAAACTCTTATTGGAAATGCAATTCATTACCCAGGGCCACTATGAATGATATTGTGTAAGGTGATTTAATTAAAGGGACAGTAATGGGAAGCATAGCCATATTAAGGTCCCATATTACTATAAATGCTATTTAGATGTCTTTTTATTTCCAAAGATCACATTGTGCTTCTATCACAGCATAAATGACATCAAGCTGTCTGCTACCCACTCTTGGTCAATGGCACAAGTTGGAATGCAGTGATGAAATATGATTGGCTCTTGCTCCAGCTTGACTTATAAAACGTGAAACATGATTTGATGATGCAAGAAGACTCTCCCCCTGTTGAATTACTACCCATGTAGCGAGCATAGGCTGATAGGTATTGTAGTCATACATCAACTGCAGTGCAGGCAGCTTTATTCTTAAAGCAGATCTGTCACACTTAACTTACCTTTCTTCAATTTGTTCCTACTCCTAAAACAATCTTCACTTCTTTGTTTTAAATCTTTTATTCCTAAAATGCATAAGGCAAAGTAAAAACTATTTTATCTTATGTATTTTTAATCCACTTGACAAAACTTGACAAAAGGCAAGTTTAGTCACTTCCCATAGCCGTCGCTAGTGACAGCTCTGGGAAAAAGACATTGACTTGCTTATTACGAGACAATATCTTTGGTGGCTTCCTCGATCCCTCTGAGAGTGAAGCACTTATGTGGGTTTCTAGCAGATGAAGTGACAGTAAGCTTGAGAAAGAAAATAGTGGCACCGTGGGTAACAGCATCATGTAAGTGAAGTATATCTTGCCTCTGCATCCCCAGGCCACAGCACACCAAGCGGCGATGTTACCATTGGATGCCTTTCCAAAATATGTAAAGACCTGAGATGTGACAGAGCTGCTTTAACTGTGCAAAACTGTGTCTGTGTTTGTGAATTTGTTAAATGCTGAGCTCTCCTTGACTTTAATTTTTGACTCAACTCCTTGGTTGAGCTTATGGAAGCTGGAAGCAGAGCACTCAGTCCTGGGAAACGTGTTTCCTGATAGAATTAGAATCAACCAATCTATTCAGAGCAAAACAGAGACAATAATAAAGAACACAAACCATTTAAACATGTAACTGCTGACGTTGTTGTTGCGTCGATGATGCACACAGCATTTTTGACATCCAAACTGCATGCTACAAGCTTTCCATCCACTGAAACGTTGCACGAAGTCACCAGACCGTCGAGGCTTACAGACCACTGGAAACAGAACAGAGAACATGTAGATAAGACCACCACAACGATCCATACTGATGGGTTTCCATTTTACAGTTAAACTGTGTAATATAAAGTTTGGCTAACATTGAGTGTGGTAGCTATACAGCCTGAAGACATGGGGAGAGGCTGACCCTATAGCTAGAAGGCTGTGCTACACATTGAATCTCAATGCATGAAATGACCACTACGTATTGGCGGGGGAGATGGGTCTATGGCCTCTTTCTGAAGACTTTTACTAGCTGTGTATCAGAACCAATTATCAAGGTTTGCTGCGATGGACAGGGGAGGAATAGTGGTATCCTGGATTCATCAAGAATAGGTGATTCTGAAAAACGGATATGGCTCTTTTTTATTTTAGAATTTTAAAAGAGCTCGGTCATGCAAATGAGAGCATACCCCGGTTTTGTTGTGAAGCTGGTGTCATCTATATAATTTCTTTGTAAAATGTATAGAAACGAATACATTTGATTTTGTGTATTTATATTTATTTGCCTGAGCCGCGGTGTTGAGTTCCGTTACTATACAGACAGATGGATAGGAGAGCCTGTTTATACTGCTGTGCTCTCGATATGATGCATTGTGGGACAAGACTTGGTCTTTCTCATATCAACATCCATAAACTCTATATCTTTAGAGAACTTATTGAAGAAAAGATTACAATTAAACAAGTAATTAAAGGCAAATCTCTTCTACTTGCTAAACAAGAAAAGATTCAGTTCTGAACACAGTGATGATCAATTATTTTTACCTAATTAGGCTGCATTGTGCAATGAATACCATTAAATTGGGTAATAGTAACAACCCATGGATGTTGGGCTAAGGTAACATCCCGAGGACGTACTTGAAAACCGGAGTAATCTGTGCCTTTCCTGGTTAAATACCTTGTTATTATTATTATTCACTGAGCATAGGGCCACATGGTGCAATTATAATTATGAAATCAGTAACACGGCAACTTAATTGTTTCATTAACTTACAGAACGAACGCCAGTCCCTGGACTTGTAAATACATGAATGAAATAGAAAATGCCATTTTAGCAGCCATTACAAGTCCAAGTGTTCTATACATCAGTCGGACGCTGCAAGCGGATTAAAGGAACACTATAGTCACCTAAATTACTTTAGCTAAATAAAGCAGTTTTAGTGTATAGATCATTCCCCTGCAGCAGCAGCCTGCATGAAAAAAACAACTGGTTTTCACTTTCAAACAGATGTAATTTACCTTAAATAATTGTATCTCAATCTCTAAATTGAACTTTAATCACACACAGGAGGCTCTTGCAGGGTCTAGCAAGCTATTAACATAGCAGGGGATAAGACAATCTTAATTAAACAGAACTTGCAATAAAGAAAGCCTAAATAGGGCTCTCTTTACAGGAAGTGTTTATGGATGGCTGTGCAAGTCACATGCAGGGAGGTGTGACTAGGGTTCATAAACAAAGGGATTTAACTCCTAAATGGCAGAAGATTGAGCAGTGAGGCTGCAGGGGCATGTTCTATACACCAAAACTGCTTCATTAAGCTAACGTTGTTCAGGTGATTATAGTGTCCCTTTAAAAGTGATACTGCACTTTCAGGATAAAGGTTTGTGTGTTAGCCAGTGGTCAAGAGGAACATGAAACATACCAGCACCTTCCCAGTGTGCAAGTCCCAGCATTTTACTGTCTTGTCGTAGGACGATGTCATCATTCTAGAAAAAAAGCAAACATTACAGAATTTGTAACATTGCTTTAATGTAAGAACATTTTATATTGCACATTTATATTAAAAAAAAAATGGCATTCTAACTGAGAACTTTTCTTATAGATTTATAATTCCAATTACCACTATTTGTAAACAATAGATGATAAAGGCAAAGTGTGGAATCAAGAAATCTATACTCTTCACAGAAGAGTACAAAACAGCCTAACCCACCCAACACAACCTGTAGAATCCATCATGTCACCTTTCATTGTCAGATGTTAAAGTGCACTCGGAGATTAGAGCTGTGTGTTCGTTTCCATAGACATGGATCACTCTCCCCGAGGAAATATCCTAAAAAAAGAAAGAATGGTTAATTATTGTTTGATAACAAATTTATATTGAGTTTCCTCTTCATATTGCCATTGTACCAGAACTTAGTCAATCTTAAACATTTAGTTGTTCCAGGATAGGGAAAAGCATTTCTTACAAATTTTATCTTGGACAAACTTGGTACAAGAGTATCTAAGAGGTGAACATTCTCTATCAACAACCACAAAATATGATCACCTCATATATTCGCTAAATTCAACTTGACCCTAAGCAGAGCTTAAGAACCACGTCCAGATTTATATTCATAAACCCTCCATCTGGGGAAACTTGGTAGAACTATCTAATGATGGGCAACCCCGATGTTTGCCTTAAGGCTGGCTAAGCATTGTGTGAGATGTATTTCACAAACATCTGGAGTGTCACGCTTAGCCATGACTATACTACAGTACTTGTTAATGACTGTTGCTATGTTAGTGAAGCGGTCAATACACTTTGCCCTATAACGTACCCATAACTTTGCTGTACAGTCGTGGGAAGATGATATGAATTTTGAATCCTCAAAGCAGAAATGACAGCAGTTCACAGCCTTGGTGTGTCCACGAAAGACTCGCATAGGAACCTAAAGATTGGTGGACAGAGAAACTAAGTTATAATACTGTTTAAAATTAACAAAACGCGAAAAACCACAGAGAAAGTGACAGTAGACTGACATGGGAGAAATGTGTATTCACGGATTCAAAGTCCCACATGAAAGAGTTACAAATCTAACCGTAACATAGAAACATAGAATGTAATGGCAGATAAGAACCATTTGGCCCATCTAGTCTCCCCAGTTTTCTAAATATACACCAATATATACCGTAACAGTGTACAGAAGGAGAATGTACATGTCTCAACCTGCCACAATACAACCACAGAGATCTGTACTAAGGTGTGATAACACAGACTTCATTTCAGTGTCTATTTCATTAAATACAAATCTCTATATTGTGTCCCTGAATTTGGATATGGGCCCTGTGTAGGAGGGATGGATAGAAAGTGCGTTTTATCTTTCTTAATACCAAAAGAACATCAGCCCTGGCAAGCTTTATAAATGTTCTGATGGAGTCACAGAAAAGGGAGATCGCATTGCCACAAAATGCGTTGTCCACAGCCTATGCGCTCCGATTACAGAAGAACATTGGGAGCCATAAAGGGATAACACCTCCACAAACTGTAGAATTATTATTTTGGTCATGCAGTTACATTTTGTCAAGATGGTAAAGAGTCACAACATGCAAAGAGAGAAGAGTACATAGGACACATTCCCGGTCCTTAGAGGTAGCTGGGCTTAAAGTAATATACAGAAACAGAATGGTCGAGGAACAGGACGAGGTCATAGAAGAACAGAGTAGCAACAAAATAAGTATGAGCCAGACTGGATGTTGGATGAAAAGTCCTCCATCACAATTGGCGCTGGAATGATGGATATCCCAAGATCGGGTGTATGAACAACGCCAATTAGACGTGGGTACCCTGATAAATTTATTGAGTCTCACTTCCTTTAGATGTGGTCCCCTGGGTGACTTGTCAAATATAAAATGAATTTACTGCTGTCTACATGTAAACTGAGTCACAGGAAACTCGAGAAAGAAATCTATGTTAAGTATACCATTATTATGGTTTATGGTTCAAACCTGACTCATTTAACTTATTATATTTTATATAATTATAATATTATAATAAATATAGGTAATGCATTATAAATAATAATTCTTGCGCTCTGATTATCCATCCGTGATGGACTGTGAAATCAGGAACTGTCTTAGATATCTGTATGTGTATTAAAGGAACACTTATAACACCATAACTACTACAGCGCCTATTGTTAAGGGTTAATAATTATTTAGAGATATATAAAGTGTACATGGAATTAAAGTCTTATTTTATATTATACCAGCCCTGTTCAATGCCTTCTATTATTGCATTTATATTTTAACCTTTATTGGAAAGTGTAATGACTGATGGGTAAATAATCTACCGTAATTCTTTATAACATACAATAGCATACAGCTCTGGGACAGCAGCCATAATGTGGATACAATAGTGGATGAATATAATCCTTGTTAGAACCAAATGGACATGCCTTTCATCAAAGAATTAGATGTTTATATTGTGTTCTACCAAACCATTTTGTCTAAACACATTATTTAAGTGCCTTCCATTCAGGGATAGAGGATATTTATCTCAAACAGCTGTTAACATTAAACACACGCAGATCAGGTTCTGTTTGTCATCAAAGTTTAATTAAACAGGTGATCTGACCCTGGTTATAATGGTTTCATTAGAAGGAAGTGAATAAACTATATGTGCATCACTTTGAGCATGTCAGCATTATCCAATCACTGCCAGCCCCTGCATACTGTCAGCATTAACCCCTCACTACCAGCCCCTGCATACTGTCATCATTAACCCCCTCGCTGCCAGCTCCGGCATACTGTCAGGCTGATGACATTAACCCCCTCACTTCCAGCCCTGGCATATTGCCAGCATTAACCCACTCACTGCCAGCCATTGCATGTTGTCAATGTGAGGACATAAACCCCTTCACTCTGAAAATATACCGGGGCTGGCAGTGAGAAGGTTAATGTTCTGAGTCTGACAGTGAGGGGGTTAATGCTGACAGTATGCAGGGGCTGCAGTGAGAGGGTTAATGCTGACAGTATGCTGGGGTTGGTAGTGAGGGGTTAATGTCCTCAGTCTGACAGTATGCCGGAGCTGGCAGTGAGGGGGTTAATGCTGACAGTATGCAGGGGCTGGTAGTGAGGGGGTTAATGCTGAAAGTATGCAGGGGCTGGCAGTGAGAGGGTTAATGCTGACAGTATGCTGGGGTTGGTAGTGAGGGGGTTAATGTCCTCAGTCTGACAGTATGCCGGAGCTGGCAGTGAGGGGGTTAATGCTGACAGTATGCCGGAGCTGGAAGTGAGGGGGTTAATGCTGACAGTATGCAGGGGCTGGCAGTGAGGAGGTTAATGCTGACAGTATGCAGGGGCTGGCAGTGAGGGGCTTAATGCTGGCAGTACTGGCAGTGAGGGGGTTAATGCTGGCAGTACTGGCAGTGAGGGGGTTAATGCCGGCAGTGAGGGGTTAATGCTGGCAGTGAGGGGGTTAATGCCGGCAGTATTGATGGCAGTGAGGGGGTTGATGCTGGCAGTGAGGGGGTTAATTACGCGGCGGTATTGATGGCAGTGAGGGGTTGATGCTGGCGGTGGGGGTTAATACCGGCAGTATTGATGGCAGTAAGGGGTTAATGATGAGGTGGGTTAATGCACAGCAGTGGGGGGTTAATACCGGCAGTATTGATGGCAGTGAAAGGTGGTTGTCTGCGGCAGTGAGGGGTTAATACTGGCAGTATTGATGGCAGTGAGGGGTTAATGCTGGCAGTGAGGGGTTAATTCGGCGGTATTGATGGCAGTGAAGTTAATGCGGCAGTATTGATAGCAGTGAGGTTAATACTTTAGCGGTATTGATAGCGGTAAGAGGGTTAATGCTGGCAGTATTGATGGCAGTGAGATTATGCGGCAGTATTATTAGCAGTGAAGGTTAATACTGGCAGCGGATTTTGGTAGCGCAGTGAGGGTTAATACTGGCAGTGAGGTTACGCGTATTGATAGTGAGAGTTATACGGCAGTATTGATGGCAGTAGAGGTTATACTGGCAGTGAGGGAACAGCCTGCAGCAGTATTGATGACAGTGAGGGGTTAATACTGGCAGTGGGGAGTTAATGCTGGCAGTATTGTTAGCAGTGAGGGTTAATGCACAGCGGTAGAGGGTTAATACGGCAGTATTGATAGCAGTGAGGGTTAATACGGCGGTATTGTTAGCAGTGAGGGTTAATGCTGGCAGTATTGATGTAGCGGTGAGGTTAATACTGGCAGTAGAGGGGTTATGCCGGCGGTATTGATGGCAGTGAAATTAATGCACAGCGGTATTGATGGCAGTGAGGGTTAATACTGGCGGTAAGAGGGTTAATGCGGCGGTATTATTAGCAGTGAGGTTAATGCTGGCGGTAGGGGGTTAATACTGGCGGTATTGATAGCAGTGAGGTTAATACTGGCAGTGAGGGGAGTTAATACGGTATTGGTAGCAGTGAGAGGTTAATACCCGGCAGTGAGGTTAATACGGCGAGTATTATTAGCGGTAAAGTTAATGCGGCGAATATTGATGGCAGTGAGAGGTTAATGCGCAGCGAGTGATGGCGGTGGGGTTAATGCTGGCAGTAGAGTTAATACCGGCGATATTGATGGCAGTGAGGGTTAATACGGCAGTAGAGAGTTAATGCGGCGTATTGATGGCAGTGGGGGTTAATGCCGGCGGTAGAGGGGTTAATGCCAGCGGTAGCAGTGAGGTTAATGCTGGCAGTGAGGTTAATGCGGCAGTATTGATGGCAGTGAGGGTTAATGCGGCGGTAGAGGTTAATGCGGCATTATTGATGGCGGTGGGGTTAATGCACCAGCAGTGAGGGTTATGCCCGGCAGTATTGATGGCGGTGAGGTTAATACCGGCCAGTGAGGGGTTAATGCGGCAGTATTGTGTAAGCGGTAGAGGTTAATACCGGCGGTGGGTTATGCCAGCAGTATTGATAGCGGTGAGGGTTAATACGGCAGTGAGAGGGGTTAATACGGCAGTATTGGCAGTGAAGGTTAATGCGGCAGTAGAGGGTTAATACGGCAGTATTGATAGCAGTGAGGGGATTATGCAGCAGAATTGATGGCAGTGAGGGGGTTAATGCTGGCAGTAGTATTAGCAGTAGAGTTAATGCGGCGATATTGATGGCATTAGGGTGGCTCACGGCGAGTAAGGGGTTAATGCACAGCAGTATTGATGGCAGTGAGGGTTAATGCGGCAGTAGAGTTAATTCGGCGGTATTGATGGCAGTGAGGTTAATACTGGCGAGTAATTGATAGCAGTCAGAGGTTAATACACAGCAGTAGAGAGGGTTAATGCCGGCAGTATTGATAGCCGTGAGGGTTAATACTGGCAGTATTGTTAGCGGTGGGGTTAATGCGGCGGTAGGGGTTAATACTGGCGAGTATTGGTAGCGGTGAGGGGTTAATGCTGGCGGTAGGGGGTTAATGCGGCAGTATTGATGGCAGTGATAAAGGGGTTAATGCCGGCAGTAGAGGGGATTATGCGGCAGTATTGATGGCAGTGAGGGGGTTAATGCCAGCGGTGGGGTTATGCGGCGAGCTATTATTGGCAGTGAGGGTTAATACCGGCAGTGAGGTTAATACGGCAGTATTGTGATGAGGGGTTAATACCGGCAGTGAGAGGTTAATGCGGCGATATTGATAAGCGGTGAGAGGGAGTTAATACTGGCAGTGAGGGTTAATGCAGCAGTATTGATGGCAGTGAGAGGGTTAATGCGGCAGTGAGAGGTTAATGCACGGCAGTATTGATGGCAGTGAGGAGTTAATGCCAGCAGGAATTGAAGTGGCAGTGAGGTTAATACTGGCGGTATTGATAGCGGTAGGGTTAATGCGGCAGTAATGATGGCGGTGAGGGGAGTTAATACGGCGGTGAGGGTTAATGCACAGCGGTATTGATGTTTAGTGAGGGTTAATGCGGCAGTGAGGGAGTTAAGGTCGGCAGTATTGGTGGCAGTGAGGGGTTGTACTTGGCAGTATTGTGCTTGATCAGGGTTAATGCTGGCAGTGAGGGGGTTAATGCCGGCAGTATTGATGGCAGTGAGGGTTAATATACTGGCAGTGAGGGGTTATGCCAGCAGTATTGATGGCAGTGAGGGTTATGCCGGCAGTATTGATAGCGGTGAGGTTAATGCTGGCAGTGAGGGGTTAATGCCGGCAGTATTGTTGATAGCAGTGAGGGTTAATACCGGCAGTGAGGGTTAATACCGGCATTATTGATAACGTGAGGGGTTAATACCGGCGGTAAGAGGGATGCCGGCAGTATTGATGGCAATGAGGTTAATAATGTCGGCAGTAGGGGTTAATGCTGGTATTGGTAAGCGTGAGGTTAATACCGGCAGTGAAAGGGTTATGCCCGCAGTATTGATGGCAGTAGGGGTTAATGCCGGCAGTGAGGGTTATGCCGGCGTATTGATGGCAGTGAGAGTTAATACCGGCAGTGAGGGTTAATACCGGCAGTATTGATGGCAGTGAGGGTTAATACTGGCAGTGAGGGGTTAATGCCGGCAGTATTGGGCAACAGTGAGGGTTAATGCCGGCAGTATTATTGGCAGTGAGAAGTTATGCTGGCAGTTAGGGGTTAATACCGGCAGTATTGATAGCAGTGAGGGTTAATGCTGCTTGATGAGGGTTAATACCGGCAGTATTGACTGTAGTGAGGGTTATGCACAGCATTGAGGGAGTTAATGCCAGCAGTATTGACTCAGCAGTGAGGGTTATACTGGCAGTAGGGTTAATACTGGCGTATTGGTAACAATGAGGGTTAATACTGGCAGTAGGGTTAATACCAGCAGTATTGCTAGCGGTAAGGGATTGGCAATACCGGCAGTATTATTAGCAGTAGGAGTTATACCAGCAGTGAAGTTAATACTGGCAGTATTATTAGCAGTAAGTTAATACCGGCAATGTGTGTGATAGCAGTAAAATTATGCTAGCAGTAGGGAGTTATGCAGCAGTATTATTAGCAGTAGAGGTTAATACTGTAGCAGTGAGGGTTAATACTGGCAGTATTGGTAGCAGTAAAGAGGTTAATACTGGCAGTAGAGGTTAATACAACAGTAGCCGCACAGCGTGAGGTTAATACCGGCAGTATTGATGGCAGTGAGGGTTAATACCGGCGTGAGAAGGTTATACAGCAGTATTGCTAACGGTAAATTATACCAGCAGTAATGATAACAGTAAAGGTTAATACTTTGCTTAGTAGAGGTTAATACCGGCGTATTGATAGCAGTAGAGTTATGCTGGCAGTATTGATAGCGTGAGGTTAATGCCAGCAGTATTATTAGCGGTAAGGTTAATACCGGCAGTAGAGGGTATGCCAGCAGTATTATTAACAGTGAGAGTTATGCCAGCAGTATTGATAGCGTGAGGTTATACCGGCAGTAGAGGTTAATACCAGCAGATATTGATGGCGGTGAGGGGGTTAATGCCGGCAGTGAGGGGGTTAATGCCGGCAGTATTGATGGCGGTGAGGGGGTTAATGCCGGCAGTGAGGGGGTTAATGCCGGCAGTATTGATGGCAGTGAGGGGGTTAATGCTGGCAGTATTGATGGCAGTGAGGGGGTTAATGCTGGCAGTGAGGGGGTTAATGCCGGCAGTATTGATGGCAGTGAGGGGGTTAATGCTGGCAGTGAGGGGGTTAATGCCGGCAGTATTGGTGGCGGTGGTTGATACATAGAGCGATATATTATGGCGACCTGCGATAATGTCCGGTTGTCCCATGCCGCCGGTTCCCCCTCCGGTCCGCCCGGTTTGTCCCCCTGCACGGCCAGCGGGTCCATATCGCACACTGGCGGCGTTCGCGGTCTCCATGGAAACCAGCTACACCCGGACCGCGGTCTCCATGGAAACCAGCCACAGCGAGACGGCGGCCGCCGAGGGACAAAAAGGATCAGCAGAGCTCCCAGCGCCAAGTGTGGGTTAATGACTGCACCTTACAGGCTGGGACACACCTCAACTGCACCAAATCACACCCATCTCACCTGAGTGCAAGCAGGGGGTTCAGCACATACCCACTAATCACAGAACCTTGTACTGTGACAAACCTGTCTCACCTGAGTGCAAGCAGGGGGTTCTGCACATACCCACTAATCACAGAACCTGTACTGTGACAAACCTGCCTCACCTGAGTGCAAGCAGGGGGTTCAGCACATACCCACTAATCACAGAACCTTGTACTGTGACAAACCTGTCTCACCTGAGTGCAAGCAGGGGGTTCTGCACATACCCACTAATCACAGAACCTGTACTGTGACAAACCTGCCTCACCTGAGTGCAAGCAGGGGGGTCAGCACATACCCACTAATCACAGAACCTGTACTGTGACAAACCTGCCTCACCTGAGTGCAAGCAGGGGGTTCTGCACATACCCACTAATCACAGAACCTGTACTGTGACAAACCTGCCTCACCTGAGTGCAAGCAGGGGGGTCAGCACATACCCACTAATCACAGAACCTGTACTGTGACAAACCTGCCTCACCTGAGTGCAAGCAGGGGGTTCTGCACATACCCACTAATCACAGAACCTGTACTGTGACAAACCTGCCTCACCTGAGTGCAAGCAGGGGGTTCAGCACATACCCACTAATCACAGAACCTTGCACTGTGACAAACCTGCCTCACCTACATCCCCAGCAGCCGCCAGACACTCTGCCACAGGCTACACAGTGCAGGGTGAAGAGTAGGGTGTATTTAATTATGGTCCTACATACAAAACAAAGATACAACGTTTTGGCTGTAAGGCCTTAATCATGTGAACTTCTTCTGTTTGAGAATTGTCTCACCTGTTTTCAAGCACGGATAACAACCAGTCAATCTCCAGTATTCTGCTGAACCCTGACAACACAAAGCATACAATTGTTCTAAATCAATGAAACCTAGTGTTTTTCCTCATTTTCATTCTGAAAATGAAACCTCAAAACCGTTTTATTGCAAAATGCCCCTGCTTAACTACAGCCGCAGATTTAATCACTGGTTCTCTGAATTGTTTTCACCTGGAGAACTAAATGGCATATGCAAAAACACCGTCACCTTCCCAACTTTCCATCTTCTGCCATATCCTTCGTATTGTGTGGACAAAATGACTCCAGCAACGGTTTGTTTAATGTGGATATTGAAAACCTTGTGATGACATTAATATACCAGTTTTGTAGTCTTGCCAGATACACCCCATCCATTCTGTGATACACAACTTTGTCATGTGTATGGCCAGCAAGTAGCAGAAAGTAGAATTAATATGTGTCATTACAAGCAAGACTTGTGGGTAACTGAGAAGTATTGAAAAAGGTTAGTCCATGATACCCAAATGGATTAAAATTTCCCAACTCAATTATATTTCCAATTATTGAAGGGTCAACCCAAAAACCTTCAGTGATTGACCCTTCTGTTTAGTTTTAGTAACCAAATAAAATGATGGTTTTAGTGACTGAACACCTTTGTTGATGTGTGAACGCTTGCTTCTGAAAGTGTCATATAGTGCAAAGATTACAATAAGATGTGTTACATTTCATCCAGTTTAGCGGTTAGAGCACTATGTTGACAGAACTGGTCTAAGGCCTTTCTCACCTTCTTTACACAAGAATCTGGGGCATCATAAAAAGTATAGCCAGGAATTAATCCTTTGACGTGAAAGTGCTGTGCTTTGATATAGTTTTTAATCTCATGCAGAGTATTAATGGTTTGTACATAGCTAGAGAATTTGGAAATAAACAAACACTCGTGAAAGCTTCTGTGTTTAGTTTTGTGGATGTATCAAAAGTATGTAAATGACTTCAATGACAATGGGAACCAAATTGAAACAGACAGTTCAGTTCTGAAAAGTGTCGCCTAAACTACAACTGTCTGTTTATAACAAATTGTTTAAGAATTTGTGATCTGTTTCATGCAGAAATGTAAAACGTGCAGTACAGCCATTGCCCGATCGACAATCTGATCTTTTCTTCTCTGTACGAGCTTCAGTCCTGGGTGATTACCTTTTGATGGTATGTTTTACAGATCCATCGTATAAGCTTGCATAGCACATATCCTTAGGATGTGCACTTTGTGATTTTATATTAAAGGGTAACATTTATTATTATAAACAGTTGTGTTCTAAAGAAGTAGTAGTTTAAACACTGTTTTATGCGTAATCAGCTAAAATTTTACTTAGAATAAACAAGGAGTAGAAATGGGATAACCCCGTGCATATAAATACACAGACCATGTTCATTCCGATATTGATAGAAAGTAAAGACAGATACCTGAATGGAGGCAGGGAGAACAAACGGGTCTTACATTGCACACCTGGTACTTCCTTGCAAATACCTGTCAATGCGGTTGGCAAGCTATTAAGGATTTCGGTTGTGTATCCTTTACCAGTACTGAAGTATTCTGTATTTAGCACATTACTGTTTGTGTGCTTTATACGTGTCTTACCCAATGTTTTTTGTAACTCTAGACATCCCTTTTTACCCTGCCGGTACTCAAAAGTGATCTATATACCTTCAAAATCCAAAAATGGAGAAAGCATTTTTTTTTTTTTTTTTTTAATTAATCATTGCAATATTAAAAATTCCAATCAGAGATTCAGATAAATAGAAAATTTACAAATTCAAAGCAGAACTTGGTTTGTTTTATACATATATTTACAAATTAGCTTTGTGTTCTGTAGCATCAGGGGTAGAGCTATTAAAAAACAAAACACACAAAAAAAAAACGGGTCAAAGGAGATGCGCTAAATCGTTCTTTACAAAAAGTAGTTGTGGTGAATGCCATTTGCCAGCTACCGCAGTATTGGAAGATTTTTCAACCTGTTAAACAAAATAAATATTAGCAATCTGTAATTCTGGTTTGCACAATGACCATGCAGTATATGTCAGAGGACGTCACCATAGGTGCGACCAGCTTCTGTGAGGCTTCTCCAACTGATAAAACTATAAACTGGCACAGCATTCCAAATACTGAAACAAAATGCAGGGTAACCAAATAGCTACCACAGCTATATGGGGAGGGGATGAGAGAGGGGAGAGAGGGAGAGATGGAGAGAGGGGGAGAGGGAGGGAGGGGGAGAGAGAAAAAGAAAGAATATCTCTACTTATACGGTCTACATTGCAGTTTATGTTTATTAGAAGATAATTTAAACCAAACTTTATTTTAATTAAAAAATTTTAAATGTCATTTGTTAGCGGAGGATGATGAAATGTGCTTTAATCTGTTCCATTAATCTCAGATGAGAGCAATCTGTGGCACCGGGTGAGCCAACAATTCTCTAATGATTGCCGTGTGCCAGTAAAACACAAGATGGGTGACTCATTTAAAACCTGTCATAGTTATATTATCAATCCAATACCATGAGAAGGTAAAAGAAGATCTATGGTCCCTTCCTTTATTATCCCCCGGGAGGTGCTGTGGACAGAGATCACCTACCTTTTTAATAGTTCCTTTGGGGTTAGTTCCACTGCCTGCTCTGAATCACTGTGACTTGTGCTGCTGTCTCCTGTGTCAGAACTGCTTGCCTCTTTATTACGGCGCTTTTTATGTTTTTGCTTCTTGTGCTTTCTTTTCTGTAAAACAAAATAAAATACATTAAATATGTGCAAATTAAATAGTTAGACATTCAATTCCTCCCAAAATATGGAGCTTAAAAGGACTCTAAAACATTGCAGTTTCCACGATAAGGCCAGGCACTATGACTGTACTGATTCGTTATTTTCATTAATTCCCTGATATTTTCTGGGCATCTCTCACAGTTAATGTGCCTCTTTTTAGATTAATAAGCAATGTAAGTAGCAAGACTGCCATTACTTATCAAAACGAAATTCGAAATTGAATGTGTATAGAGTTTTGCGTATCGTCCACCCCACTGTTTACTAACAGAATTGTTTTTTCTGTCTTATTTTTTATTCTTTAACCTTAAAAATGTGCTGTATTAACCTGTGACATTGTCAAATGCTGTAAGATGCACACAGACGCTGATGTGGCTCTGTGTAATTGTTGTTGATACATGCACGACAAAAATAAAGAATAAAAAAAAAAAAATTGCAGTTTCTTTAAAAAAGTGTAATGTTTATATTGGGTTATATCCACTCGTAGTTGCTGTCAGAATGACCTAGTAAAAACCTCTAACGTAACTCTGATACTCCACATAAAAGCATTGATTCAATGCTTTCCTATTGAAAAAGTCTGAATGTGCTTGTCGCGCATGCACCGCCTGGACAGGACCATTGGTGGAGGAGGCATTGCCTCCTCCGTGATGTCACTTGGTGAGGAGAGCTAAGCAGCACGGAGGGAGCCATGGTTTAGAAAAAAAATAATGAAAATAGATTTTAACCATTTCAGTTACATTTCTTAAGCTAAATAAATCAGAATTTTTATTTACATCTAAATTCTAAAGAAAATAAAAGTCACCTTTTCTTTCTTGTGTTTATGGTCTTTTTTCACCTTGTGTTTTTCTTTGTTCTTTTTCACTTTCTGTTTTTTAATTGGTTGATCCATGCTCGTTGACGGGGCTGCATCAGACTTCCCAGAATTGCCTGAAATACAACACACATACAGTTCCTAATGTATCTAATATAGTACGATAAAAACAGATCATTTATTTTGTTGAATGCTGTAAACATATATCGGAGGATTAAGATTAAAGACTCATCTAATCTTAGACTTCTTCCAGTGACCAGTACATAAAGAGCACCTCAAACATTCATTTACCTTCTGGCTGGATCGGACATATCATACCAGTACTGTATGTACAGTATAAATTGCAAGGAAAGAGTTCAAAGCTGCCAACTAAGCACAGGCTTAGATAGGGTCATTGGCCTCCTTGGGTCAAAGCAGTTGCCAAGACCTCGATTTCTATAATTCTGAACACAATTCGAAAACTGGGTAATCGCTAGGGATCGACGAATATTGATTTTTTTTTTTGATTTTTTTTTAAAAGCAGATACAGATAATCTGTGAACTTTCAGATACCGATATTCCAATAGAAAAGGATTGAATAATGTGTTTCCGATGGGGAAATTCTAATGCAAGCACAGCTATTTCCGCACATGCACATTAGGTCACATAAGTGACAGAAGGGATTATTAACCCCTCCTGCACCACGGGAGAGGGGAAGGGGATTATGGATCTTGACAGAGGGAGAAGCTATAGTGCTTTCCTGGGCTGGCACTATAGTTTCCCTTTAATTTGGACTATGTGCTGCCAGTGCCAAGTTAACCCATTGGCCATAATACAGAAAAAAAACATGTTTCACTCTTCTCTGTATGACTGATCACTCCTCAGCTCATTTTAATTTATATTTCTTCCAGCAGCAGAAGCACATATTCAGTACCAAGGTGGGGGAAGGGGGGGTGTAAGGAGGGGGCTTGTTATTATCAATTGTATAGTGCCACTATGTTACCCACTACAATACACAGGGCTTTATTGCCATTTGTATAATGCTAGTATACTACCCACTCCCACTGCTTTATCAATTTATAGTGCCAATATACTACTAAGGGCTTTATTATCGTTTATAAGATAGTGCCAATATATACCCAGAGCTTTATCATCATATAGGGTCATGTGCCATCCACCACCCTCCCCTCCTGACTGACTACCAAGGGCTTTATTATCATTTATAAGATAGTGCCAATATATACCCAGAGCTTTATCTACCCATGTGCCAAACGCCCCCCTAACTGACTAACTATGTTTATTGGAGTAAAGAAAATTACCTTTTACAGACCAGAAGGATAAAATTGGCAAACCAATTAGCACACAATCGGCAGAGCAGACTAGACACTGAGTAGGAAAAAAAAGGCAGCCACACAGCACTACTTCAGGCCCGTGTCTCCAGCTCCTCTCTGAATGTCTCACGATTCACGCGCCTGGTTTCGCTGCATGGAGCGTTGCTTTGGTAACCGTCGGGACCGCTTTGATGGCCAGGGCTCGTGAATCGCAAGACTCGGAGAGAGGACAGATTGGCGCGTGTGCTGGACTCATTATCGACAAGATTATAGGCAGATACCGATAATTTAAAAAACCCTGAATATGGGCAAAAGCGATAAATCGGTCGATCCCTAGTAATCATCACGGAATTTAACAGAATATTCTTTCACATTTCCTTACAGATTGAACTTTTCACCAGAATTGTTCTCTATATATAATTCCTGTTAAGTCACGGACATTTTCTTATTAACGAGTCCAGTGTCTAAAGACGTGACACAACAGTGTATAGGGAGTGTATAAAAATATCACACAGATAAGAAATGATCACTTTATTATCAAAGTTTTATGGTGCATAACTAGGACACCACTAAAAACACAACAAGCATCCAAGTATGCAATAAAAAAGTAAATTTAGACAGAGCTCGTTTCTTGCTGCTATGTAGTACCAGATATCACCACTGCTGTCAGTAGACTTCTGCTCTTTCTGAAAGGTAATTAAAGCTACTCTAGACTGGTCTGAAAAACACTCTCTCGAGTTCTGCCTCCGATATAGAACTGTATGTAGGAATCAACACCATAGAATAGAGTTCCTCAAATCTTGGAGGAATTTGATGGTGTGAATAGGGTGAAACTGTCAATTATGCCGCACTCATATTTAGTTTGGATTCTGAATGTACAATACATAAAAATGAACGAGGATTGGACATTAACATAGCAGTAGACATACGGTTTTCCAGAGTTTAACTATTCCCAGTATACTTTAAATATGTAAAGTGTCCAGGGGTTATAAAAGGTGCTGCTAAAAATACAACCAGAGTGTAACGAATCCATGAGACCTGGGTATACAGCACTTTGTGACGAACGGATAGTGTATATGTAACAGGCAAGATTATTATATTCAGAAACAATAATAAAATAGGATATAACTTCCTTATCCACTGTATAATAATAATATAAAATATCATGGGTGAAAGGGGGCAGTGTGAACTTACATGAGGCCGATGTAGGAGGCAGCCTAGGACCAAATTCTTCATCCAAAGTCCTCTTCTCCTGAATCTCCTCCACCACTGGGATGACAGGCTTCTCTGGCACATGCAATGCAGGAACTGAATCTACATAAACAATGAAAACAATTCCCATCATCTTACAGAAACAATATGTTGGAAATCACAGCGAAAATCTTGGTTCCAAAATGGGCATGCTGTTTACAATGCATAACCCCATTTACTAAGGTACCAGTCACACTTACACATTCACTATGGCTTTAGTTTTTTTTTTTTCCCAGTAACAAAGTGGTTAATTTCCATAACACATCTCTGCTGTGTTAGGAAAAACCCATATCACAATAGGTCCATTTTTTTTAAAAATAGCTTTTATTTCTTAAGATATAAAACTATGTGACAGTAGAATGATCCCTAATGAGATTTATGTATCAGCTGATAACTATAAGTTTGCTATGGGTTGGTACCAATACTTTATTTAAGATACCTTGCCTGGATGTTGGGGCATGGCATATAAAATGAATACATGCCCAAATAACACAGTTAATGGGATAAAGGAACCAGGACTTGTCACTTCCCTGCTTTAAATAAGGCCTTAGATCCAAATAAGGTTTAGATCCATTCAGTCAAATATAAACGGACAGCCTGCATTGACATATGACCCGAGTTTTGTCTGAAATCATGTATTTAAATTTTATGCTACTGGAGCAGGCCTGCACAACCTGTGGCCCCCCAGATGTTTTGAACTACAGCTCACATGATTCCCTGTTTCATTCATGGGCGTTTTAGTTCAAAACATCTGGGGGGGGGGGGTGGAAGTGTGCAACTCCTAATTGAACAAGTGGTTTCTCTAGTGAAAATCCACAAATTTTAAAAAGAAATGAATCTAGTAAATATAAATGTGCATCCGTGTCACTCTCCCCAATACTGTAACTAGTTTTAGTAATGAGAAGGCACCGTGAACATCACTAAAGCAGCTCTGAAATGGTTAAAAGATACAATGGGATGATTTAACATGCATTCCCCTGCTTAGGGAAAGGTTTTCAGGAAAAAAAATAAAAAAATCTGCTTCTCCATTATTTCACATTAGAATTTTAGTTTTGAAGAAATTATCTGGATGCAGTAATTAATAGAGTGTTCCATGAACCAGATTTAAGCAATATTCTGAAACGAAGATTTTAATCTAACCAAGTAATAAAATGTAGCTGTAATTACCACTAGGATGTGACCTCCTGGAATAGTTACAACGTCAAGTAAGGTTACAGATTTGAAATTCCGCTTAAATTTACTCTGAATCCCCTACAATTCACACTTTAGTGAATAAATAACCTTTTTAATGTGGTTTAATGTGCCTACAAGAAGTGAAGTTAGCTGGGAATTTTTTTATCCTGTTTGTACAAGTAAATATAACTGTTTAATGGTCTGTTAACAAGCCCTTTTAAAACAATGTTTACTCATATAAAATCAATGACTGCTGTATTACATACGTTGCTTTCAAAAGAGGTTCAGTCTTCCTGATCTCAAACATGTGAGTGTTGTGAAAGCTGAGAGACTTACTGTAACTACAGGTATGGTGAAAATATGACACAGGAATGTACACATAAAAATACTTTAAAAGGACAACATGCTTTGATCTCCATCACACTGTATGTTTTAATTATGGGATTACTAAGCACTTGGTCCTTTTGATTACTGAAGGAGTGGCTGCTGTAAGCATCACAAGCTGTCACCCACCTTGAGCAGTGGATGATGGCACCATAGGTTCAGTAATAGAAGCATCTTTCGGAACAACAGGAGATTCATCTTCACTCTCGTCCTCTGACGAGGAAGATTTTTCATCAGATGAATCGGCAAATATAGCTTTGAATATATCTATTGATGGTCTTTCTTCAACTTCGTCTTGTTCTTGTAGCGGATCTGTGTGATCGGTGGCAGCCTAAATAAAATAATGACTGTATTAAAGTTGAAAGATAAGCGCAGTCTAAATCAGAGAGACGTCCAGAGCTCAGGTAGATAATGATTTTGCTTCTAACCAACTTTGCCCTTTGAGTTCTCCCACCAGTTTCCCAATCGAGCAGTCTATGATCCCATTTTTGCTCTGCACAAGCTGCCTGTGTTAGTACAACAATCTTCTCCAGGTGAACAGTTAGTGATGATAGTTAGAAAGACGGACACTGGCTAAAATTAAGCAGGTCATTATCTTCACCTTAGCTGGTGGTGCAGAATTTTCAGATTTTGTCTCACTTTCCTCTGCTGGGTTCAATTCTGTCTTCTTAATAACTATTTCACTTCGTGTCTGACTTATAAACTCACTGATTGAATCTTTCTTCTCTGAAGTAGACTGGTCCCATCTAGAAGACTTCTTAGGTCCTAAAATGATGGATAATTATTACAGAAGAAACAAACAGTTAAGAGGGTAAAATAATTTAGTAACTGGGTTAAATGAAGTTTTGCAATGAATAGATAGGGTTGCCTGGGGTACCCATTGACAGAAATGACTAAGCTTAGAAAGATTTAGTATGTGATGCAGATACATACTGATTTCACCTGCTGCCTCTGAAGGCTTGTTTCTTGTGGTATCCACATGTGGATTTGAAGTTTCAGGAACAGTCAGGAAGTTAAACACAGAAAACTTGTCCCGTTTTACTTTTGGTAGCCCAATGATAGTTGACCTTAGGGAGAGAAAAATAAGTTACGATTTGATTTCAAGTGCATTACCTTCAAATTATTATTTGGATTCAACTGATCGGCAGACCATTTAAATCTACACATTGTTTAGAAAGAAATTGTAAAGCTGAAGAAATGTGTAGATGTAAACTTTTAATGAAAGATCTCTGCACAATTGTAAACCAATGCCATACAATTGCGTAATAAAGTTCACATATCCCAAAGAATAATGGGATCACAAGCGCACCACACTCACCATGATCCACTGAACAGTAATCAGCAGCCAGTATTATTAAACGTTACGGACCGCATTTGTAAACTGTGCAATCTCAGTGTGGAATAACGCTGAATATTTCCCAGTCTGAAATTACAATTTGTTCTGACTTGCGCTGTTGGTAGGGGAAGCCCTAGGAATAATGTTGTATTTTGAATAAGATATCGATATAATCTGCATTTAATCTACTTGGAATGGAGCAGCTCGTGTGATAGAATACTCTCAAGGGTGTACTGAGAAACATTAAAAGCTATTGGTGGTATAACTAAAGCTGTGGTTTAGGTTATTAAGCCAAAAGGAACCAGATCAATTTCTTGCAGTTCTCTGCAGCCAAGAACACGTGGGTAGAGAGATCCAAGTCACCAGTTTATTTAAGTAGGGACGAGGTAGAAAATACACCATTATATCGGAACGCCCCATGTAAAATGACACAAAGGAGCAGGACAGGAAATCTCGGCCAGCATTGTCAAAGCATACACTGCATTACTGCCAAGGGAGCAGTTTGGACAATTAACTATCCAGCTCCTTCTCCCCAAATGCTTCAACAGAAAGGCCACAAGTGCTTGAGACTTACTGGACATAACTGGGGTAGGTAAATATCATTGCATCCTAGATATTGTATTCTGCAACAATAACAAGTATCTAGGAAGCGGTACTTAATTTGTGAGTCTACGTGAAGCCAGTAGATAAAATAACCTTTGTGTCATCACTCATAGTATTAATATTAAACGGTTACATTCTGACATACCAGCCTTTTGAAGTGGCACAGCCAGGACACTAATGCAAATAAACTTACATCTCCCATGATCCCTGTATCATCAGGGGCCAGCTCCAAGCTCACAAAATAAATTCTTACTAAATTAAATATAAAGAACACTATAAAACTTGGCAATAAGATTTGCACAAAGACCATAAGTGATTCTCTCGCTCTCTCGGAAAAAGTGTGGTTGAAAATCCCTTCCACCTGAAGTGGATAGTGAATACATTGCTAAATACAAATACACACACCACTCAAGCCATAAGACTTACTTTTCCCACAGAAATCTCACTTTAACAGTGCTCTCACTACTGCAAGGGATTCTGGGTAGGCATGTGCAAATGAGCTCAACAAAGATCCTTATTTTTGCCTCATAAAGGATAAAACTTGATGACTGTTGTTCAGAATATATTATTGTTACTGATGATAATTAACTGCTTCCCACTTGGGGACATAATGATAAAAAAATAGTGTGGATTTTGGGACCCTTGTGATAACAGCATTTTTTAGATTAAAAGGAATAGTCCAAAAGGAATACTTCAAACACTTAACACACTTAAGCTTGCAGAAGCGCGTGTCCTCTTCCTCCCCCCCCCCCAGCATTTTACAAAGTGCAGATTTCAATATAAACAGCAGGTCCAGTTACTTCCTGGTTTGGTTAGCTCAGTGGAGCTAAACTCAAGAGGCAGCAATTGCTCAGAGCACCCGCCTTGCAAAGACTTCTCATTGAGCTGCATTGGGAAGTCAGTGATTGGCAGTCACAGAAAGTGTGGGCGGGGTTTTATATATGCTCCCAATGAGAAAGAACACAATCAAATGCATGCATGTTTTCATTGGGGCATATCTACTAAACAGCGATATATACATATTTTCTGTTGGGCCAGTGGAGTGTCCCTTTAAGGTGTTGGTTTTCAGTATACATGCATAAGATGGAATGGAATGTCAGACAACACAGGGAGCGACTGCATTCCTTAAAAAAATAACAAAACAAAACAAAAAGGAACCAACAGAGAGGTTACATGGCATTGTTTCAAAGTGTGAGATCGACGTGAGGTGGAAATCGTGAGCACCCATTGTTTAACACAGTAATGAGAAACTCTGCAAGACAGAGACACAGAGGTCGAGTGTTCCTCTACAATTAAACGTGTCTGGGCATGTTCCACTCATCTGAACAGGCAGAACAAACTCGCCTTCACACAAAAGCTTACCCTGGATAAGGATCGGGGATGTTAAATCTCTTACACAGCAATTTGTCCGGGTGCCACTCAAACTTGTCTCTCGTCAGTTTACCAAACATTTTCATTTTTACAGCAGAAGCTTTGTCATTCAGATCACCCTGTTTGACAGACATAAAGAAAACATGCAATTAAACGTGATCACCGTGTCTGGCTACGCGAATGGAAGCTATTACTAGCAAGCAGGGACTCTACTGATCTGTTAATGAACGCAAACTCATTAAATGTAACTTCTATACAACTTTCAGGGTCCTTTTGTCCTCCATGACATCCTGATCTGTTTGGGACCATAAAGGATGTAACATTGGCCATTAACGGGTTAAAAAAGGAGACTGAACTTGCCATTTTAAACTCTTACAGGTTACCAGGCTCTTTTACTGGCAGAAAATCACAGTCAAAAGCCAATATCCAGCAATTTAAACTGTAATAAGAATAGCAAACTCATAGGGGCAAAGTTACTACAAAACTGACTATACCTAATGGATTATGGATAGCTCGCAAGTACAAGTCTTTCCCTTACATCAGAACAGAGGGCAAGATATATTCTACATGGTTTTGAGTTCCTTGTACTTGAAATGGGTGTAAGTTGATCTTTTTCCTTCTGGCTGGTATGAGATGCAATCATTTTCAGGTTATAGGGTCAATGAAACCTCTTGTGCTTGATCTTTAAAGGACCACTATAGGCACCCAGACCACTTCAGCTCAATGAAGTGGTCTGGGTGCCAGGTCCATCTAGGGTTAACCCTGTAGCTGTAAACATAGCAGTTTCAGAGAAACCGCTATGCTTACATTAGGGTTAATCCAGCCTCTAGTGGCTGTCTCATTGACAGCCGCTAGAGGCGCTTCCGCGCTTCTCACTGTGAAAATCACAGTGAGAAGATGCTGACGTCCATAGGGAAGCATTGAGAAATGCTTTCCTAAGGACTGATTGAATACGCGTGCGGCTCTTGCCCCCTTCAGTCCCCTAGAGCCTGGCGGGAGGGGGGACCTAAAGACCCTATAGTGCCAGGAAAACGGGTTTGTTTTCCTGGCACTATAGTGGTCCTTTAATTCTACTGGTTAATGTCACACTGCTAAATGGTGGTTTAACTCGCAAATCCTTCAATTACCTCTTCATCTCTCGCAACTTCAACCTTATCCAAGTCATCCTCATGCTTGGCGCGTGTAAATCGCGATGACAGTGTGGTGCTGGAAGGCTTGTAAAGCATTGCTGATCGCATAAACTCATCCTGCTCGCGGCCACGCTCCCATTCCGTCATGTTGGCATCCAGAGAACTCTCCAAAGCACCTAGGTAATCACCAGAAGGGTAATGGTAATTGCACATCCTATATTCAAACATTGGGTAAGGCGGAGCATGACCCAGCACCGAGGGACATCGGCGCTGGATACAGGTAAGTCACTGAAGGGGTTTTAACACCTTCAGCAACTTGGGATGGGAGGGAGAGGGGACCTGCAGTGCCAGGAAAACGGTTTGTTTTCCTGGCACTGGAGAGTCCCTTTAAATACTATTTATACACTGTGCTAGCAGATTTGCAAGCAAATGTATAGCCTGGGAGAAAAACCTATTTACAAACAAGTTTTTCTCCCATGTGTCAGTCAATTGGTCCGCATAGAGTCTATGTTGAAGAATTGATTGACAAGCGAGAGAATTTGCTCTCCGGAAATAGGAGGACATGGCAGCACTGAATTGGAGTGTGAAGTGGTGAACAGGTTCCATTTAATATAAAATATTGAAATAACTGGTACCTTTTTGTCCTTGGTGAAGTGACCGAATATAGTTTTCATATCTTTTTTGTTTTTCCGGATTTTTGTCAAATGGTTTAAACTCTTCAGAATGACCCGGGACGAGCTCCCTGCGAAGCAGATGTTCTTGGAGTTTTCCGTGAGTTTCCACCGAAGATGGCGGCTGAAAGCTGCTCTTTAAAGCTTCATGAGCAAGGGTCTGTGCTTTTAATCTCTGCTGCTCAACAGCTTGTTTCACTTCCTTGATTCGCTCACGATCTTTATCAGTGAGCATATCCAACACTGTGGTAGGACCTTTTAAACATATGAAAACGCAGAGCATGAGATATTGTTATGGGCAAATGCAAATATTACAAGTTTTAGAATGAAATGTTGTATTTCTTAAACTGTGTACTTTGTCTTTAAGAGATATTGCAAACTGACAAGGTGTTAGAAATGGAACTATTGTTTTTCATAACGGTTTCTTTAAGCAATAACCTCAGTGCGAAATATGTTTGCACCATTTTGTCCCAGACGAATTACAATAACAATAATGCATAAACAAACTTCAAGGCTATCCTACGACACTTGCAGTACACAATATACTGTGGTAACCCCAAGTTAATGGAACTTCCCCAAATCCGGGAATCTCCTGCGACTGTACACTTACGACTTAGTATAAACAACAGATAACCTATTCAGACTTTAAGATGCCATCTTGAACTAAGTCAGGAAAATTTCCATGACGTATACACCCTTTAGTTATGGCCTTGTATGTTTGCCAAATTAAGGGAGGTCCTAAATTGAATAAAGTAAAAGAAGTGTTACTTTTTCATATTTGAACTACAGTAACCTAAAATGGAGACACCTAAGGTATAAATAGGTGTACTTTTAAATGTTAAGACACAGAGGAGAGACTTGGAGACAGACGCTGCTCCATCTTAAAATGACAGAGAGGCTGACATGATGACATGTTCAGAAGGGTATGTTAACCTATTAATGATATTTGCAAGCATGTAATTTAATCTTATAAACTCTGCTATAATGGATTTTATATTTTTATATAATAAATATCCAAAAAGACAAAACTATTGCTTCCAAGACAATCCTTATTTTATATTGTATTCTCAATTATTTATATATGTTAAATAGAGGATCTCTTACACTATATAAAATTATGGCTAAGATATCTGTATGGTTAGCCCTACTAAGTTCTATGCTTTAAGACATTATAGTGGTAAATAAGGGAACCACCTGCGGTTACAATATCACCAATTCGTAATTAACTGAATAAAACAAATAAAATGTGTGTTAAAATTTAGAACACAAACTTAAAAACAAAAAAAGAGATATTAGAAAACAAAATTAAATGTACAAAAAAAATAAAAAAACAACAAAAAAATAAAAATAAAATGGCTATATCATCTATAGACAGACATTGCTTGCTCAAATTTCCATTACACTAAAAGGAAAGTCCAGGCTCAAGCTGAGCCCCTTATTTACCGATTTATGGAGGTGCATTAAACATGCCATACAGGAATAATAAAAAAGATGCTGAAAAGTTTACTACATATTTTCCTGTAAATTCCCAGCTTATCTGTGGATCCTGCAATGACCTTGAATTCTCCTCTAATCTTAACCCTAGGATTTCCAATTTTGCAGTAGTTTTATTCATGAAAACAAATGTATGAAACCACTGAACAAGTGAATAGAAGTCACAACACGCTGTCTACTTAGCTTACTGAATACTTTAAGTCAGGGTTGTTGTTTTTTTTTTTTACCATAAAAAATAGGCTCTCCTGTAGAAAGCTTTGTGAGAGTCTAGAAAGGGCAATAAGAACGGCATTATGTAATTGGGTGGGGGTGGACTTGTATCTACAGTGATTTTATAACAAAGAAATAGAGAAAAGGAGGGGAAGGCTACTGCTATAAGCAACAGAATGAACAGATAAAGGGCTAATGGACTTCCTTGTTCCACAACATAAGCAAGGATCACAAGTGATTATGGTGCTTTTATTTTATTTTTATTAAGACACACTTGCTTTTGTATATAAAAACCTTAAAATGTGTTTACACAGTCATACATTATTTGTATCTTAAGTGTGCAAGAGCCAAGACACACGTTAAAATAATAAATACTACTACTGTACTGATAATCGTAACATAGTGGAGATTCATCAACTGAACATGATTAAAAAGCGCTGTATAGGAAATTATACTACAATGCAAAACCTTTTTATTAAGTTTCATTTTTTTTTATTTCTGTAAATCCCTTAAACCAGTCCCATCCTTGACAATATAACATTATTGACGAAAAAGCAGGGATGGGATGGGGGAAGCCAGCATCCCACATGTAATAACCTGTGTGATCTTAACACTGTAAAAATAGTGCCTCGTTCTATACAAAAGCATACAGGTATAAGCCAACCGAACACAATGAAAGCATATGTTCCTTGTATAGATTAGGGCACAGGGAGGTCCTGGTCACTGTACCCCGGCACACAGTGCTTATCATAACTGCAGTGATTTGCAAACCTGGACAATGAAGAAGCAGAGCTGACCAGCACAAGAACTAAACAATAAGAGCACTGAGGGTCAGTATATTTTAAAAACACCTTGGATTTTATTTCATAAAGCTTTTTAGTGACCTATTATACAACCAGTGGAATCACTAGACCAGTAAACAGCTATAACTGCGGTACCTTGAAGCGGTGTTTCTCCCAGTAGATCCCTTCTCTGCCGTGAATTCAGTTGGTGCCTGCTATGCGGCTGGTCTTCTGCAAGTTTCTGAGAAGGTTTCTGAGAAGAGTCCAGCATTGCTTGAAGAGTCAAAGAGCTATGACTGTTTGGAGTTAGTACGGGCCGGAAATAATGAACAGGGCTGTAATCCCTGGGGAGCTCGGGAGGAAGATAAATCTATGAACACAATAAAAAAAAAAAAGTACTGGTGAAAATAAAATAAAAATAAATACACAGTATGCCCCCCCCTCTCCACTAATACCACAGACTGTCAAAGTATACCCTTCACCTATACATCTCTGCCATAACCCATCCCCTTCCATCAATCTACGCCACATTCCATTTCTTTCATTAAAAAAATAGAATTGAAGCAGCCGAGCTGAATGGCCGCACATTGTCTGAGCTCTGACCGCGGAACCCAAACAAATACCACACAAGACCCTAAAATTAAGCTACCCACGACAGGGGAACCCCCCACGAGACAGTGGACACACCATGGGTCGCAAATCAAAGAAGATGAGGCCAGAAAAGCCACGGATGGGCTTCGATATCGGAGACATGCTGCGGCAGGCCAGTGGAGGGACGAGACCAAAGATGGCCGACCATCCTGCAACGTACTCTGACCTCTCAGACGACATGTCCCCTGACGAGGACAGCGAGATCCCACTTGCAAACCCGAGAGTAGCTCAACAGCACACCGACCGAGACAACGCACCAGTGACGGCGGCGGTGCTGAAAGCACTCCTGGCAGATCTCCAGAGGAACATTCAGACGGACGTTGCATTAATCCGCACGGATTTACAAGGCCTTACGGGCAGACTGGCGGTGGTGGAAGCCGCGTCCGATACCCAAGCCCAACAGATTGCCACACTTCAAGAGGCGGTTCGGGGGCTCCAGCGCCACAGCGAACAAGCTGAACGCCGCTTCTCCGCAATGGAAGACTGGAGGCGGAAAAATAATATAAAAATTAGGGGCATCTCGGACGAAGTGCCGACAGCGGAATTGCCGCACCTCCTGAGGCGCCTACTAAGCACTATACTCACCCCAAGACAGGGCAAGCTGGTGGGAATAGAGGGGTTCTTTCGTGTACCCAAATCCCCAAGAGCACCGGACGACGTACCGAGGGACATGGTCATCCAGCTAATGAGCGGGAAAGATAAAGCAGCGGTGATGGCGGCGGTCAGGGACCACGCGCCATATAAATTTGAAGACATGTCTCTCACCTTCTTCCCGGACCTATCAGGGAGTACGCTAGCTTGGAGAAGATCACTCCGACCCTTCACATCACTCCTCCGACAGAAGCAGATTCCTTACCGGTGGCGGCAATCCCGCACCCTAATGATCCAGCACGGGGGAAACAAGCTCCAGATCAGAGATCTCGAAGAGGCAAAGGCCACACTACCTACCCTCAACCTACCTCTTGACGCCCTGTCATCTACCGGAGCGGAGGCAGCAGGCCACATTCCACACCAATGGAACCCGGACGCAGTGATCCCGTTCTCCCCCCGACGGCAGAACAAGGGAGGAACTGCAGCGGCCATCACCTGAGGACATTGATTAGATGGACAGCCCGCTAATATCACGTCCTTAGGCTCAGCCTAGGGCACCAGTTTATAACATTTAAAATGCTAATTTTTCTGCTCCCTGCTATACACATTTTGGCCCCATGTTCCAACCTAACCCTACTGACATGTACACAGAAGAGAGCTCTTCCACAAACAGCCCACCTGAAGCTCGACAGCTCCCCTTGAGCCACTTACACTACCCCCCACACACACCTCCTAAGACCGAAGTACCTATAACACTGCTTTGACAAGTACCGGAGGCAGCCAGCAACGAACCTCTAACACGCTCCGGCACACACACTAGCTGGGACACACTTCAGAACGCAGCGCACCACCACTGTAACCCAGCTAGATCTAGGCCACAACACACCAGAGATGCATAAGAGTGCCTGGAGTTGGAGGGCCAACCATATACCTACCATCACACATAGTCTGTGTCACACTATACCCCACCTTAACGACAACACTTAAAAATGAAAAATGTGCCATGTAAATGCTTGCCATGATACTGTTGTTCCTTGACTGCATTACTATAGTTAGGTATAGCTATCGTGGCATACCGAACTTGTATGTTAATTTGTGCACAACATAAATAAAGAATTAAAAAATAAAATAAAAAAATAGAATTAAACCAAGTTTAGTAAATGTCAAAACAAAATGTCAAACTAAAATGTAACAGTGATCAAAAAAAGATCAGATTTTAAATATTCTTGTAGATCATGAACATGGGTTCTCTCTCATTATCTGAAATAAACAAAAATTACATAAAATAAACAAATGTACCTTTTTTTGTTGAGCACGCGTAGCTGCAGCACAAAATCCCTCCAATATTTTACCGACATACTGAAGTTCCCTTCCAGCCCCTGAAAAATAGATATCAATGAGGATCCAAAATACACATAGCTAGCAGGGCATTTAAAAAGATTCCTGACAGAGTGAACATTGAATAGACAATGGAGTCTCCCACACAGGTTGATTAAATGTGTCGGATAGGTTACAATAAGTTATACTTGGTGGGTTTATGTGATTAAAGGGACAGGTGTAATGAGTGGATTTTTTTTGTTATACTTCTTTAGTAGATTCATAAATAAGAATTCTGTTTCACTACATGAATCCAGTCTTTCTGCCTCTCCAAAACGCATGGAAGAAGATTGTAATTCATCTGTTATTATTCATCAGTAGATAATCTGTCAATTAAACTACAACTCCCAGAAACACTTGCTCTGACGATTAAGAATTACGGACAGGATTGTAAATGTCTTGTTTCTCGGATACCCTGTAACTGTATAACTTCCTATCTATTGACAACAAAAACAATAAACAAAGATTGAAGAAAAAATAAATAAAAATTACGGACAGGATAAACTCAGCAGTGCTAACAAAAGTTAAGTGTATTATGATATGATTTGGTGAGAATTCAATGCAGAAGCTGCACAGCTGGAAATGTGCAGCAAAAATAGGAATTTTAAGTGTAAGTAAATTTTACTTATTATCAAAGCATTGTTCATTTAATGGAGATTACTTATTGGAGAGTTCATTTAATACCAAATGATTTTACTAGCTCCTTAAATATGTAACTTCATAGTTAATCTTTTCAGGTTAAATCAACACTAGGTCACTTAAGACTTTCCTTTTGTTTATAGAGGAACATGGTGTTAAATATCACTCCGTTTAGTGACATTACACTATATTTTCCTTTCCACCTTGTATGTTCTCATACCAGTATAGAGCACTAGTAAGCACACACCCTGATTGCATTCGCAGTAATCGCACTGGAACACAATGCTTTCTGAGTGTCTTCCTCTGACTGGCCAATGTCGAGACAAAGTAAAATAGAATATCTTCTCTAATGATCCTTCCAAAAAGCACTACCATAATAATCAGTGCCTGGTCCTTTATTGTCGTAACCCTGAATATGAGCATAGTCTACTAATGTGCTTCCAGGAAGCACTCGCAAACCCGAATAAGGGGATTGCAGCTAAAATCTTTGATTTTTTTATACAGTAGCCCCCGCCCTTCCCCTTATAAAAAAAAAACAAAAAAAAAAAAACACTTTATTAAGAAATAAAAATCAAACCACATTCACAAATAACAAGAACACAGAGAGATGACATCCCATAGACAACAGTGCGGTTACAAGCAATTCCTTTGATGGGAGTGAAACGTGATGCGAAGGGGAATACATTAAAAATAAATGTGGAAAAGGCTGTAGCTATTAATATCCAACAAATAAGCACTATTTAAAAAGGGATAGAGAAAAAGCATTTTAACATATGAGTCAGAAAGAAATTAGAATGACATTACTGGCACGGTAAGGGGTGTGTGGTCCTGACATTAAACGCTGCCCTTAAGTAGTGGCAGTAAACAAAAAAAGTCCATGGAAACCAAAAAGGTCACATTTTCTAGATTGGTACCTTTTGCCAAAGAGATTAGTAACTTTTGCTCTCTTTTACCCTGCACACCCCTTCCTGAACACTCTGGGGAGCAAGGCTTTTTCAATGAGTGAATGCATGATTTAGCTGCAGTGACTAGATGTTTGCAAAACAATGTTCTTTATACCATTACTCGCACAGGAGGTCACTAAATGAGTATAAGGCATAAACAGGTCTCTTTCACCAAAATATAGGTTACAATCATTTTTAAAGAAGATCAGAAATTATTCGGTAATAGGCACTACCACCATGTTTGTTTGTTTGTGTCCCTCTCCTGGCTATATTTCCACCAAGCCTCAGACAACAAGGGAGAGACTAACTTATATGCAGGTTCCCAATGGCTGGAGTTAAATAAAGCCCTTATGAATTGCTGGGAATACTGATCCCCATTGTTCTTAAGACAGATTCATTTGTCCAAAGCATGGCACTACTGTCTCCTTAAAAAAAATTAAACCGGATAGGTCCAATCAGGCAACAGGGAATGTATAATAATACAACACCTTGATGTACTGCCAGGCTCACCCCTGTGCCCATTAAATAAAAGAAAAATGTGTGCCAAGTTAGTATAGGGACATACATTTTAGAAAGGGTGTAATGGCCTCCAGCAGCCCTGGAGTTAAACTGTTGAAAGTATTTGAAGTATAACAATAAAATGGTAAAGTATAAGCAAACACAGATACATTACAAACATTCTCTGTGGCAGTGCTGCTACCCACGGCTACGCAAATAAATACACAACAATGGCACACCTCTGTTGATACAGGGACTTGGCACACAGTGGAGAAAAAATTATGAGAAATTGTTTGCTGATAGCTGGAGTGGGAGACCTAATCTGTGAAATGAATAGAACTTAACTAGACTATGAAACCACGGTGGGCAGATTCAACACCCAATAAGTGATCCCACTGGATACCTAACTCAAGAAACTATTACCAAATGAACCCAAAAATAATGCCACATCCTAGCCGACGCATTCTTATCTCACATAGCCAACTAGTCATTTTAAAACCAGCGTAAAGCATCTGAAAAGTGCATTATTAATCAGATTTTTCAGAAGATAAGTCGTCAAATATTTCATGTTAAAAAGAAAAATAGGTAGGCGAATCAAAATTTTTTCAAAAATATAACAAATATTTTCAATAGCATCAATAGCTTTTGAAATGAATCGCAACCCATACAACAGAATTTTATAAAGAAAGAAATATTTAAAGGCAAACAGTCGGCTTGTTCGGAATGCAACTGTGTTTTAAAATAAAAGCCCTTAACAATGTCAGCTGTTACTGGAAAACAATAACTGCTTGAAAGTTCCTGGTGAAAGACATTTCTTGCATATTGCCTATTTGAATCAAATGTGAGAGTGGTGTGATGACACAGGGTGGAGTTGGAACCGCGAGAGAGTTCTGCAGTGAGAGGCATCAATATTTACCCAGCAGCAATTATGCTGTGAATGTGAAAGCAGGGAATACAATCAGCCTTGGAGGCATTTGCTAAATAATAAGGAGACTTCACAGAGAAGCATCAACACATTAAACAGAACACTATATGCACTGTAACAGCCTATGGGAACCATCCCTGCAGATTTTTAAAGCTTAGCTCCTTTTGCTTGCAAAACCAAATTCAGGAACTCCACCTCAATGTCTTTTCTAAATATTTGACTAGTGTAAGCAAATTACTGCAAACAAAGACAAAGAGCACGGAGATAGAGTAGTCAGACAGACCAGTTCGCAAATAAAACTTTCAGTGCTCCAAACTGACCCATAATTCCTCATTAGGTATACAGCAGAGAGGGCGAGAGATTGCACTCCAAGACTCTGAGCGTCATAAGCAATACAACAAAGCTATGGTGGTTATGGTGCTTGGAGTGTCCATTTAAGAAGAGAACAATACAAATCAGCATTGTGGGACAATTATCATTAACATTAAAATTCACAGGTTAGGGGATATTTTCCACCCCTTAAATCAGCACTTGGGTCTAAAATTTGAAATTCTCTTTGAATTTTCAACAATCACAGAACATTCAGTGTGTGGTCTGGTCCTGTATAGTGTATGACCTTTTGTACAGCAACTGTGTCAGCCTGCAGCCCCAGAGGTAACTGGAATCCAAATCCCATACAGCTAGACAGGATGTAATATCCGTGCACTCACCCTTTCTATTTTTGTATTGTTTTGGTGCGGTCCACCCAAACAAACCATCGCCACGCTCTTCTTCTATCACCGTATCATATTTGGACATAGTCTCTGTGCCATAGATATCATCATCTTCATCTTCCAATGCCCCTACGCCAAATGCCTGGTGTACAAATATAAAGCAGAAAATGGAAAGTTTATTGGTTTGTAAAAAAACAAAAATCAAGCAAAAACGTGCTCAGTCACACAAGGTCACTGATTCAAAAGGACACAAAATTCCCTCTATGCATCTTTTCAAAATGCAGTTGTGATATCAAAGCATAGTTTCATTACATTACATAAAATGCTTAAATTCAAAATAAAAAGAGAGAGAGAGAGAGAGAGAGAGAGAGAGAGAGGAAAAAAAAAGGCTATTTTACTGGAGATATGTATGGCAGTAAACTATATGAACATTCTTGAATTTGATGGACTCAGAAATAAGCATGACTGCAAAAGGTGGTATTTACACACATAGGCAACTGAAGTTCTAAAATTGAAAAGTGTTTTTCCAGTCATCCTGCCTCCACCCTCCGCACTTAGCCTCTGCTGAAAGTGTGTATTAAAAAAAAACAAAAAAAAAACATTGATTTGATGAATCACGGTGTTGCATCGCATTCATTACTTGCTGTACTGGCAGTGTTTTCCAGAGATAGTAAACCCTGGCACTTCAGATGCTTCTTACCCCAGCTTTGTATAGAGAGAAATGGAGAACACAAATATCCTGGATGTCAAGACTAACCATTATTGATCTAGACCAGGCTACCTCTAGCTCCAGCCTTCCAGATGTTGCTGAACTACAACTCCCATGATTCTCAGCCCATTTCATTCATAAAATCCTGGGAGTTTTTGTTCAGCAACATCTGGAGGGTTGGAGTTTGAGGAAGCCTGATCTAGACTGTAAGTTGGCTAAGCGTTTTTCAATACGTCTGCTTTCCTGTGTGTTTTTGCCCTGCTCAGGACATTATTTATTTTATTTATCAAATACATACTCACCTGGCCAGATATTCCAACTTTCCTTCCTTTGCTGTGCCGTACATCTCCAAGCAGACTGTTTATTTTGTCAGATCCATCACCGAACAGATTTAATGACCCATGCATAGTTCCAAACAATGCCTGGCGTGGGTCAAGCCCTCGATAGCCAAGCCCGTGGACGTTGTCCTTGATGGTGAAATCTATCGGCGTCACATCTTTCGGGGCAAATGTGATATTTTCAGGTAGGAATTCATCATCGTCGTCGTCGTCCTGCACAAAAAGCACTGGAAAAATCAGGACCCACTCTCAGAATGGAAATATTACATTAAAAGTATTTTCAATATAGAAACGTACCTCTGAACCTTCAGAGCCTGTAGGTGGTAATGCACAACCGTAGACCTTTAAGTCACCTTTAGGAAAAACAAAAGAAAACAACCGACCGAGTTATTCCTTAATCCTGATAATTCAAAATACTAAAAGTGATTCTTTGGGTTACTGTCTAACAAAGTAATAATAATGCAGCGACTCCTGTTATAGGAAAACAGCATGAAAAACGGCAGCATCCCCAGTGGGTTACTAAAAGAAATTTTTTTACATTTATGTTCAATGAACAGACCCACTTCTTTCGATGCAGGTGGCATCTACCTTTAAGTGAAACTTTAAAAGCAGGTAAATTTATTAATTTTTAATTATTTTTCATTGCATTATTTCTAAAATGTATTAAAATGTTGTTGTTTTTTAACAACATTATACATTTATAGATATTTTTCATTGCGCTGGTTAAGCCATTTTATAGCTTTGTTCTTTTTTGGCAATTTCTTAGCCAAAGCTGTGTGAATATAGAAAGGATCCATTTCTTGTTTCTCATGTCCAATTCAACATACCAGGCTTCTGATTCCTGGGTTTTCTCTTTGTCCTGGGACCAACTCCTTGCCCTTCTTTCCAGCCCATTTGCCGCAGTAACTGGACACCAATACTGATCCTAGTATCAAACACGCGAGTTAGGTATTACAGAGACTGACATGCCCTACAAACATAGAATTGTCTGCTATACAGTGGCTCTAAAATACATAACTATAGCCGACCACATAGAACACGGCTAATGGACGAGCAACTACTCTCAGCATTATGGAAGGGAAAGTCTTAGAAGGAAAGTGAGGGGAATAAGCCAAGCACAGAATGACAAAATCTGAAGATACTTTATATATTTATCTTGAATTTCCTTTTTAAGATTCACTAATGGCAATTCTAAGACTGAGATCGATTCTGAGAAATCTGGGGGGTCTACTACTACAAAAAAAAAAAAAAACTATAAAAAAATAATAATTAAAAAATTAAGCTTGAAAACATCTACATTCTAAACATAGTATATAGGAAGTTGTACACTCACTAAATGTCAAATCAAAAATGTAAAATTCACTATTCTCCTGTGTTCAACTGAAGAATTTAAATACCGGTTTATGTACTCAAATCTATACAACATTGTTCTACAATGAAAATCATAGTAACATTGACGGTATTTCAATTTTAGTGTTACATGTTAAATCTATTCTTTCTTAAGCCCTCTTTGAAGAACAAAATTCGCCTGTGTGAATTAACCGGAAAATTTCGAATTTTGCCCCGAATGCAATGCGCCATCAAACCTAATGCGCATTCAAATTTTGGAAACTTTCTTTACATGAGATTCGAGTAAATACGGTAAATATATTAATAGATACAAAAGCAGAAAAATTAATTCGGTGCAAACAGCCCTGCGAAGCTTAAGTTGCACATGTAAAATATCACAAGTATGCACATATAAAATAAAACGCGATGTGTGAGGAATTAATGATGAACTGGGATCCTTTAACTGTCTATAGAATACCTTTATCCATGTGCAGTGTTGGTTTTAATGAAAGCGTTAATCAAAATGTATAATATGCATGTTTCCTACAAATCGTTTTCTTTTTCTTACTTAGCTGGTGCAATTAAATCCTCCAGCATGGTCGCTCCGGGTATAGGTGCAGTTACAGATGCAAGCTCTCTGGCCTTTTCCCTAATTCTGTCCTTGGTCTTTGATGCAAAATCATCTGTAGTCAAAATTTCATTAGGAGCAATTCCAAATTCACCAAGATCCTGGAGAACAAATGATTGCAATAAAAACTTTTATGCAACGAACACAAAGAATATATAATAATGGTACACCTTAGTCATAATGTCATGTACAAACAGCAACAACATAGAATAATGCTATACACAATTTTTCTAAATATAGTAAATAATAATATATATAACCATTTCAAGCGGAACTCAATAAGTAATATAAAAAAATGGGTGTAGTGTATCAAAATTACAAAGTTATAAAAATGCATCAAGCAACAAAAATCAGGTGCTGCCTGAGCTACATGCACTGATTAAGGGAATATTTCCAGCCAGCCAGCCAGCCAGCCAGCCAGCCAGCCAATCTCACAACTAAAAAGCTCACACCACACAGAGGGATTACTGTGGGGTTGTTTGTTACCGAAACAGGAACATCCTGGTCCAGCTTCATCCGGGTCCCAGGAAACGACCCTCTGCTACAACAAAACCCCTACAGCATACAGTGGCGCCACATCATTCCCAAGAGGGCGGCATTCGCAACTAGCTATTAAGCTGAGGCCTATATCGCAATGTCTCTGGCTCGGCTAGATTTACTCTTCACACGATTCTGGGCTTAGAGGCGAGGCAGCAGTATCTACAGGCAACTGACCTCTAAACCAGCCTACCTCTCTGCTCCAGACCGATCTGAACTCTGAGCTCCTCAGCATCCAGCCGGCTCCGCAAGACTCAAGTTGCACACAGCAGATACAGAGAGACCCTGGGCTTGGTCCTCCTCAGAAGCATGAAAAGCCCGGAACAGAAAATGCAGCACTGGGGAGCAAGACCAACGGCTTTGGGACTTTACCACTAGCAGCCACTGAAAACGGCATATCTCACCACGGGATGATTCTTTGGCACCCACAAGCAGACCTGCAACCGGCACTTCCACAACAGATGAATCCACCTTCCACCAACCTTCTGCTGAGAGCCCAACAGCTTTCTCACAAAATAGGAATTAGATCAAGGGGCAAGCGAAGCCTGGCTGCTATCGTGTGGCGACCTCACCACATGCGGTGGATTCCTGCCTCACAATGTGCATATGCTTTTTAGTTAATCGATTTTAAGTTCTTTCTTTGTCTTTTTTCCCCTTTTTCTTAATCTTGTCTACTCCTGTTAAATTGAGCTAGCCTGATTAGTTTAACAAAGTTCATGCAATACCAAGCAATAGCATTACACTAATGCATATCTAGCCTGATTCCTTGAATATAAAACTGTGCTGTATACTCGCATGCCATCTCCACTACTGTTCTAAATATGCATACTACTGCTGTTGTGGCACTGCAATGTGTTATCTGTATTCTTATGCATAAGACAAAGAATTATAAAAATATATATATAAAAAAAACAACAAGAAAAACAAAAAACAGGAGAGGAATCTATTTCCATGTTAAGCTACATATTTATTGATGCTCAGACAGCATGTGTTTACAATCTGAAGAGAACTTAAAATCGTAAAAGCTCGCTGTGCAATAGATGATATGACAAATTACCTCATCATCCATAAAGTCCTCTGGCCTGCTAACTTGTCTTTCAGATCTTGTAGAGCGTGATGAAACAAACGTAGACGGTGCCCAGCCTTAGAAATAAAAGTTAAAACATAGAAATAAAGTTAAACAAGTACATATACGTCAAAAAAGTAAAGAGAAAAAGAAATAATTACTAAATCACTTTCTTTTACCCAGAAAAAACAAAACAAAAATATTAAAGTAAAAAAACTATTTGTATATACGTACACACACACACGGATTATTATGTATTTTATTGATTAGGAAAAAAAATAAAAAAAATACCTTCTTTAGAACCAACTGTGTTGTAGTACCCAGCAGAGAATCCTCCCATAAATGCCCCATGAAAACGTTTGAATCGTCCTTTTTCATCTTTGACGGTCTGATCCTGAAGAGGAATTGGCTTCTTAGCTTTTTCTCCTGAAACAAAAGAGAAACAGATTGTGCTACTTAGAATATCGATGAAAAAGAACAGACTAAACTCTTTAGATTCAATGGCAGTAGCTTTTACAATGTGCATAATGCCGTCGGCATTTTTAAAAGGAATAAGAATTGTAAGAGTAGTTAAGGGACATGATAGAGAGATTGCTAAACTAACCCAACATATCCCCCCCCCCAGGGTGTTACAAACCGTGACATTTTACATAGCCCATGAACAGATAACTCAGCAATGCTTCTAACATGCTGACACTGACATGCCCTCCATACCCAGATACCCTGATAACCCATGTTATAGAATAATTACATGGTATTACAGAGACTGACATGCCCTCCATACCCAGATACCCTGATAACCCATGTTATAGAATAATTACAGGGTATTACAGAGACTGACATGCCCTCCATACCCAGATACCCTGATAACCCATGTTATAGAATAATTACAGGGTATTACAGAGACTGACATGCCCTCCATACCCAGATACCCTGATAACCCATGTTACAGAATAATTACAGGGTGTTACAGAGACTGACATGCCCTCCATACCCAGATACCCTGATAACCCATGTTACAGAATAATTACAGGGTGTTACAGAGACTGACATGCCCTCCATACCCAGATACCCTGATAACCCATGTTATAGAATAATTACAGGGTATTACAGAGACTGACATGCCCTCCATGCCCAGATACCCTGATAGCCCATGTTATAGAATAATTACAGGGTATTACAGAGACTGACATGCCCTCCATGCCCAGATACCCTGATAGCCCATGTTATAGAATAATTACAGGGTATTACAGAGTCTGACATGCCCTCCATGCCCAGATACCCTGATAACCCATGTTATAGAATAATTACAGGGTATTACAGACACTGACATGCCCTCCATGCCCAGATACCCTGATAACCCATGTTATAGAATAATTACAGGGTATTACAGACACTGATATGCCCTCCATACCCAGATACCCTGATAACCCATGTTATAGAATAATTACAGGGTATTACAGAGACTGACATGCCCTCCATACCCAGATACCCTGATAACCCATGTTATAGAATAATTACAGGGTATTACAGAGACTGACATGCCCTCCATACCCAGATACCCAGATAACCCATGTTATAGAATAATTACAGGGTATTACAGACACTGACATGCCCTCCATGCCCAGATACCCTGATAGCCCATGTTATAGAATAATTACAGGGTATTACAGAGACTGACATGCCCTCCATACCCAGATACCCAGATAACCCATGTTATAGAATAATTACAGGGTATTGCAGAGACTGACATGCCCTCCATGCCTAGATACACTGATAGCCCATGTTATAGAATAATTACAGGGTGTTACAGACACTGACATGCCCTCCATGCCCAGATACCCTGATACCCCATGTTATAGAATAATTACAGGGTATTACAGACACTGACATGCCCTCCATGCCCAGATACCCTGATACCCCATGTTATAGAATAATTACAGGGTATTACAGAGACTGACATGCCCTCCATGCCCAGATACCCTGATAACCCATGTTATAGAATAATTACAGGGTATTGCAGAGACTGACATGCCCTCCATGCCCAGATACCCTGATAGCCCATGTTATAGAATAATTACAGGGTATTACAGAGACTGACATGCCCTCCATGCCCAGATACCCTGATAGCCCATGTTATAGAATAATTACAGGGTGTTACAGAGACTGACATGCCCTCCATGCCCAGATACCCTGATAGCCCATGTTATAGAATAATTACAGGGTATTACAGAGACTGACATGCCCTCCATGCCCAGATACCCTGATAGCCCATGTTATAGAATAATTACAGGGTATTACAGAGGCTGACATGCCCTCCATGACCAGATACCCTGATACCCCATGTTATAGAATAATTACAGGGTGTTACAGAGACTGACATGCCCTCCATGCCCAGATACCCTGATAGCCCATGTTATAGAATAATTACAGGGTATTACAGAGACTGACATGCCCTCCATACCCAGATACCCTGATACCCCATGTTATAGAATAATTACAGGGTGTTACAGAGACTGACATGCCCTCCATGCCCAGATACCCTGATAGCCCATGTTATAGAATAATTACAGGGTATTACAGAGACTGACATGCCCTCCATGCCCAGATACCCTGATAGCCCATGTTATAGAATAATTACAGGGTATTACAGAGGCTGACATGCCCTCCATGCCCAGATACCCTGATACCCCATGTTATAGAATAATTACAGGGTGTTACAGAGACTGACATGCCCTCCATGCCCAGATACCCTGATAGCCCATGTTATAGAATAATTACAGGGTATTACAGAGACTGACATGCCCTCCATGCCCAGATACCCTGATGGCCCATGTTATAGAATAATTACAGGGTATTACAGAGGCTGACATGCCCTCCATGCCCAGATACCCTGATACCCCATGTTATAGAATAATTACAGGGTGTTACAGAGACTGACATGCCCTCCATGCCCAGATACCCTGATAGCCCATGTTATAGAATAATTACAGGGTATTACAGAGACTGACATGCCCTCCATGCCCAGATACCCTGATAACCCATGTTATAGAATAATTACAGGGTATTACAGACACTGACATGCCCTCCATGCCCAGATACCCTGATAACCCATGTTATAGAATAATTACAGGGTATTACAGAGACTGACATGCCCTCCATGCCCAGATACCCTGATAGCCCATGTTATAGAATAATTACAGGGTATTACAGAGACTGACATGCCCTCCATGCCCAGATACCCTGATGGCCCATGTTATAGAATAATTACAGGGTGTTACAGAGACTGACATGCCCTCCATACCCAGATACCCTGATACCCCATGTTATAGAATAATTACAGGGTATTACAGAGACTGACATGCCCTCCATGCCCAGATACCCTGATACCCCATGTTATAGAATAATTACAGGGTATTACAGAGACTGACATGCCCTCCATACCCAGATACCCTGATACCCCATGTTATAGAATAATTACAGGGTATTACAGAGACTGACATGCCCTCCATGCCCAGCTATCAGTAAGCACTGCTATCTCTGCCCCAGGCAGGCTATGGACCCTCTGGTCTCAGGATGGCAGCAGGAAGCAGCACTCACTGTATATAAACACATTTACCTTCCTCATATTGCTCCAAAACCTTCCCATAGGTGACAAAATCCTCCTCCCCATCACTGTCCTGCGACGCCATTGTGGATCGTGTTTGAGTTACGGCAGCCGCGCGGGATCAATCGTCATCCAGGGATTACACATCGCTTTCCGTCTCAGGCCTGTGACGTACACTGTAAGGGAGGGTGGTGGGAGGAGCGTACTGTCTGATTCAAAACACCAGCTTTCTCTCTATATATCTCTGTCTGTCTCTCTCTCTCTACCATTTATTGTATAACTTGTTTTTATTGTATACTTTAATTATATTAATGCATTTAATTCTGAGCATCTTGCATTGTATATATACAATTACTTAGAAATATATATAAATATAAGTAATTGTGCTGGTTTATTGTGAAAAACAAATTAGAACATTTAAGGGACTGTTTGGTAAATTGTGAAGCGTGGTGCATAATTGACGTTTCTTCCTAATTTTTGCCGTAAAAGGGTAGCTCCAGGCACCTAGATTTGTTTGATTAAATGATTCAAAATTTTGTGTACAACTGTGTCTGGGGACTCCTGGCACCATAACTATTACCGTACAACTCCCAACATTGGTAGGTATGAAATCAGGATGACCTGAGAAGGGCATCACCGGCGACTCACATAATGGGTAGTCCCACGTCGAAAACTTTCATGCCCCCCTCTCTGAAGGGGTGTGTGAGCCTGGCATCAAGCACTCCAGGCTGACTGGCAGCCTTCTGGCCTACCCCCAAAACACAGGGTAATACAGAGAGCTCTGCTGAAGCGCGCTATGCATGGTCCTAATGCCAATTCACAGGGCGAGCGCATCTAGTGCTGCTGAAGGAAAGTTCCTTGGTGTCCCTGGATGCAGGACACCAGGGAACAAAACAGGACATGGGGGTTAGCACCCCAAAAATGGTTTGACGCAGCCTCTATAGTGTCCCTGGTTCTTAGTGTGTTCCTTTAAGTGGCCTAGCCAGTTCCTGGTTTGTTGAGACCTCACTGTAGAAGATACAAAACTTGGGGTTGTGCAACAAATGCAAAAAAAAATCAATCTCTCTTTTATTTTTAATTCATTGTTTTGCATCAAACTGATTTGCAAAGGCATATCAACGATGCAATTCACAAAACTAGCAACACGTAACCCTCCACATAATGAGCGTTCCATCCTATGGCACAGGCACTTCATGGCGAAAACAGCCTTTCAGGGCAGCCAGCCGGCCAGTGCTGGTTATTTGCAGAGCTATGCTCAAGCACGTTTATAGAGCCCTGGTAAAGGCCAGTATGTAAGTCTAACTTGCTTGCGTGGATCCCCATATAGAATAGGCACGAGAGTGGAACAGAAGCCCAAAATCAAGTGGCCCATTGTACTTAACACTTTTGGCTAGTGTATGTTTAACTAAATTTGCCAGAAAACTTTATGAATAATGAAATTACACTAGAATGTAGAAGAGTTTACCCGTCTTCATTAATGCTAATTCCATTGTCATTGGTTTCTTAATTTGCCACTTTATTTTTGTATTATTGTATTGAACCACTCTGATTTGCTCTAACTAACAAATACTGTGGCAAATTGATAAAAGCTATTCCTGTACTGTAATCCTACGTTTATCTTGTTTTTCAGCAGACCAGAATTCTCCCCGTTCCAATTTGGGGCCAATAGCCAACTTTGCTCCCAAATATCGTGTTGTATAAATGAATATGATTATATTTGTGACAATTCTGTTTTAGTTTTTTTATTTACATTTTGCACTTTGGTGCAAATTCAGATCGTATTAAAGGACCACTATAGCCCTTTTAGTTTACGTGGTCAGCCAGTGAGCTCTGTCCTTCATGGCGATTCTTAGATCAGTAGAAGTATCTGGGCTGTCCTGCAGAAGAATCCTGACTACTCATAGGACCCTGGTAAGTTGTCAAACTGTTCTAAAATGGTTTGAAAAATTATACTGGAACAGTGCTAAGCCACTCTTGGCACCATAAAAGAAAACATTTCTGGCTGTAGTGGTTATGGTGCTATCAGTGTCCCTTTAAATAACCCCCATATATATCTGTAAGCAGGGCTCCCCTTATGATCTTGCTAGTACAGTGGTATATTGTACAGTGCTATTAGATTGTAGTGGTTATTGGGACAAATAGAAAGGTTTAGGTCTTTAAGAAGGACAGCCCTTCGTGAAGAGGGTCACAAGGTTATTTTGTAAATTCTGTTTTGACCTTAGTGCTATTATGGTCGCCAGCTCATATTCCAGAATCTTAGTTTGGAATCAAAAAGCCTTTATTGTAGTCCTAATAATTCCTTCTTTTAAACTTTGTCTTAATATTATACTATAAACATCACATGCTATTTTGTTCCACAAATAGCCAAAACTTAATAGCCAAAACTATTAGCTTTGTATATCACCTGACCCTGATACTATGAAGAATTTAACCCTTTAACAATAAAGTTCTATGTAATAACTCACTAATTCTGCTTATCAAATGAGGCGTAGAACCCTTAAAGGGACACAATAGTCACCAGAACATCTACAGTTTAATGTAAGGCATTTTAATGTAAACACTACCATTTCAGAGAAAAGTCTGTGTTTACATTACTGCCTATGGACACCTCCAGTCACTAGAGGTGCTTCCTGGGTCAGTGCTGCACAATGTGTCTCCACACTCACTGGATAGAAGCGCCAAACTTTCCCCATAGAGATGCGTGTATTCAGTGCATCTCTATGAGGAGAAGCTGACTGTCGCAGAATGGCATTTTGCCACGCATGCACGATATCCTCATTAGATTGGCTGAAGTCATCAAGTTTGACAGTCTCAACTGTAGAGCGTAGACCTGCGCAGTGCTGGAAAAAAGATAATTAAAATCGCCTTTTTAACCTGGGCCAAGCAGGTGACTAAACAGCTATTTAGACCTATAGTGTTAGGAATACACATTTCTATTCCTGATACTATAGAGTTCCTTTAAAGCGATTCTGTCACTTTCGGGGCTTTTTGTATCGTTTGACCCCAGAAAGATACAGATCTGGTGTGGATCTGGTGGCCGTGGGGTGCAGGGAAGGTAGGTTTTATTTAACTGAAACTGTCCAGCGCGGCCCCTGCCTTTGTCTTCCTGCTGTTACTTCAGTTGGGTGTCAGTCCTAACATCGAGGTTTATGAATGATCCTGCAAGACCGCAGGAGCTTCCATAGATCGATGCCTGCATCCCACAGGCACTTTGTTGATGGCTGCTGGGACTGGACAAAAGTTGATTGCAGAGACTTTTAGACTTTTGTCAAACTCAGGTTCATCCATTAGATAAAGTTGTCCTTATATTTTCTTACGGTATCTTTGAAATGCTTGGAATTTTATTGAAATTTTTACACAGTCTGGATCAGTGTTTCATAAATAATATATCATTACGAAATACTGAGAAGTGATCCATCTACTTTACCTTGTCAGCGTTTTAAGGGAAACTGTGCCTTCTTATGATTTTTAATATTGCTTGCTTATTCCCTATGTTTAACCCCTTAGTGACCCAACCATTTTTCAATGTACCCACACATATTATATACCATTTATCTCGCCAATAAATGGTCTTTCTAAAGATACCATTATTTTCATCATATAATTTACTATAAAAAAATTATAAAATATGATGAAATTTATTTTTTTAAAGTTTCTAAATTTTGAACTGAGTTTATAAATACCCAATGTTAACATGTTCTTTTTTTGCAAGTTATACGGCTAGAAGTACAAGTAGGACATTCCTGTTTCAAAATATATATTTTTAAAATTTATCAATAGTGACATTGTAACACTGTTATCTGTCATAAATTTCTGAATCACACCTAACATGTACATATTTTTTTAAAGTAGACAACCCAGGGTATTAAATATGGGGTATGTCCAGTCTTTTTTAGTAGCCACTTAGTCACAAACTGGCCAAAGTTAGCATTTATATTTGTTTGTGTGTTAAAAATGCAAAAAACAATTATGAACGCTAACTTTGGGCCAGTGGTGCACATATAGGGGTCGCAGCTGCGACCGGGCCTATCACTCCAGGGGGCCCAGCCGCCCTGCGGACCACTGCGACCGGGTACCAGCCGCCATGCGGCCCTGGCATGCGCGGCAAACCACCGGACCGAACCACCGGACCGAACCACCGAACGTTCAAGGGGCCCGTCAGGTGCAGGGCCGGACTGGCCCACCGGGATACCGGGAAATTTCCAGGTGGGCCGTCGGCACCGGGGCCGGGCAGGCAGCGGACTCACCTGCAGCCTCAGAGGGAGCTCTTTTGACGACCGCAGGGGGAGCTGGCTGTTCTGTCTCTGCTCCCCCTCCCCAGCGCACTACAAAGAGACCGGGGCCGGAATATGACATCATATTCTGGCCCCGGCCTCATTAAGTAGTGCGCTGGGGAGGGGGTGCAGAGACAGAACAGCCAGCTCCCCCTGCGGGCGCCAAAAGAGCTCCCCCTGCGGCCGCCAAAAGAGCACCCTCTGCGGCCACCAGAAGAGCCAGCTCCCCCGTGCGGTCGCCATCAGAGCTCCCCATGCCAGCACACAGGTAGCAATTATGTGTGTCAGTGTGAGTGTATGTGTGTGTGTGTCTGTCATGGTGTGTGTGTCTGTGTCATGGTGTGTGTGTGTCTGTCTGTGTCATGGTGTGTGTGTCTGTGTCATGGTGTGTGTGTGTGTCTGTCTATGTCATGGTGTGTGTGTCTGTGTCATGGTGTGTGTGTGTCTCTGTCTGTCATGGTGTGTGCATCTGTGTCATGGTGTGTGTGTCTCTGTCTGTGTCATTGTGTGTGTGTGTCTGTCTGTGTCATGGTGTGTGTGTCTCTGTCTGTCATGGTGTGTGCGTCTGTCTGTGTCATGCAATGTGTGTCTGTGTCATTGTGTGTGTGTGTGTGTCTGTCATGTAATGTGTGTCTGTCTGTGTCACGGTCTGTCTGTGTCATGGTGTGTGTGTGTTTGTCATGGTGTGTATGTGTGTCTGTATGTCATGGTGTGTGTGTGTCTGTCTGCGTCATGTAATGTGTGTCTGTGTCACGGTGTGTGTGTGTCTGTGTCACAGTCTCTCTGTGTCTTGGTGTGTCTGTGTGTCATGGTGTGTGTGTCTGTCTGTGTCATGTGTGTCTGTGTCACAGTCTGTCTGTGTTATGGTGTGTGTGTGTGTGT